TTTTAATTGCATTTTGTTATGTTGTGGGGCCTAGGTTGACTAGTGGGTAAGATATGTGTGGATGGGAATGTGTGTGATATGTATATGTGTGTTTGTATAGAGAGAGAAAGTGTAAGATAAACCAAAAATCCTCTCATTTCTCTCACTCCACCGACACTCTCTCTTTTCTCTCCCATTCTTTTATTTTTCATTTTACTTCAACCATTTCACCTCCAACCTTTGAGATTTTGAGCTTGTATAGAAGGAAAATTGACGGGGACTACGAGAGGAACAAAACCCCTCAATCAATTTTGGATTTGGAGCACATTTTTCTTTTGGAGTAGCTAGGGTTTGCTTCTAGCTTGAGGTAGGGGTGTATTGTGCTTATAACCTAGGAGTTCTTGGAATTTTATGACCATTGTGTGAGTTATGCATATACTTATGTGTGTGGGTATAATTAGAGAGCTTATATAATGATTTAATTGCATGTCCATAATGTTTTATTGAATTTTTATATCAATTTTTATGTGTAATATGTTATTTGTTCCATTGTTGATATTATAGATGTTAATTAAAATCCTAGATCTTAATGTGTACAATTTCTTGTAATTAAAGTGCCTTATATTTTGTGTTTATTCATGGAATTATCATGTATTTGTTATTTTGTGAAGGTTAATTTTGAAGATGTATATTTCTATGATGATGTTAAACTTTTACACACTTGAAATTTGATATAATGATAACATGAATTTAAATGACTTTAAAATACCTAATTTGTTGACATTGCATCAAAGAGTATGCCATTATAATGATTTGGACCATATGACATAGATTGTGTGATTAGTATAATTTATGTGCACATGTGAAGTGCAATTTGGGCATATCATAGTATATAGATTATTTTGTGGACTTGTTTATTGATTTTGGGAGATACTCGGGGGTTGTTACTTTGAGAATGCTACGGCTCGGTGCTCGCGGGTGAAACATGAGTTTCCCCACTTTATATTGGCCAATCGGTTAGTTTCCGGTGGACTAGTAATCCGAAAACGACTATTTTTATTTAGGCACATAGCATGGCTATGTGACCGGGAGTGTAGGTGTGTTTTGAGTTATCCCGTTAATTGATTTCGACTTTTATTTTCAAGTTGGCATTTTTGTGTTATTGCAACTTATGAATTTATGTACATTACACTATATTATTTATGTTTGTCTTGATGAATGAATTAATATTATTTATGCTAGACTAGGATGATCCTATTTAGGTTCCTCTTGAGACTAGACGTTAGGGAGCATGTTTCTTGTGTTGTATGACCATGCAATGTTTGTAGAATTTTAAGAAACCTAGTTTATATTCATGAGACATTCCTACGGAGTAATTTGTTGCTCACACCGTTGATTCTTATATTTTTCAGGAAAGGGCATTGCCCAAGAGGAAGTTCTTCATCCCTAGCTTGATTGGGATCTTGACAACATTTTTGAGCTACTTGTGATAATTGTGACATCCATTGTGTAGCTTACTTTTGGACTTGTATTTTGACACATGGTATATTTTGGATATTATATTTGATGGCATATTTGTAATATTCTTTTGGAGGAGGGAAATGATGTAAGAACTTACCCATCTATTTTTTGGAGTTCTTATGGAATTTCATCTCTTATCTTTACTCATGTAATCCCTTAACATTATTTCTCACCTTATGGATTGTAATGAGGCCATGGTGGCCATGACTTATATAGTAGAATTGAACAATTATTGTTTAAGTTGTGCACATGTGGGTTCATTTGGATAGTCTAATATAAATGGTTAATTAATCATGCTATTATCTATTTTATGAAACTATTATTATTATTATTAGTATTATTATTATTATTATTTATATGGTAGATGACACCGGTTTTCTCCAATTAATTATTTATTTACTCAAGTGAATATAATTAATTAATTATTTATTTAATTATCTATTTTTATTATTATTTTTTTTCTTCGCGACCCGAGTCGTGGAATTCGAGGTGTGACAATTCACCATTGCAACTTTTCTTTTAATAAAATTCAATTGTTATTTTAATATTATTATATAGGGTACTTAATATATCTGGGAAATATATATATTAATGAAATAAGGATATTTAAATAATTTGTCTATCTAAATGGGGCGGGGAAGTGCGGAGCGACCTCTCCCGCCTCTGCACCAAACCCGCGCTGGTTTTTATTGCTTCAAACAATTCACGCCCAAATAAGCAAAACAATCCCAAAAAATCGCCAAAAACAGGGAGGGGTGGATCGAATAACCGCGGGGGCGAGTCAAATTGTCATCCTTAAACCCACTACTTTCCTTCTTTATCTTCCCATTTCAATACCAACCTGCCGCCACCAGGGGCGGAGCTAGGATTGTAAAATAGGGAGGGCTAAAAACAATTAAACCCATGATTGCTTAATGTGTCATCCATGCTCTAAATATATAATTATCATGCATCAGTTATTCAATTAACCCAATAATTTACAACCTTCTAACACATTTACACTTCCAAACTCTAACGTATTTTCACAGTCAAAAATCCATTGAAGTTTGTTTCATACAAGTATTAAAGCAAAAAACTACAAGAATGCAAGATATATATGTTCCTTATCAATAAATTCACAATAGAAAGTAAGACATATGTGTTCCGCCTCTGACTAGTTATTAATCCATTATATAGTAAATTACCCAATTTAACAAGAAATTATCAAGTCATCAACAAAGCCCCCCCCCCCCCCCCCCCCCCCCCCTTTTTTTTTTTTACAAAAATAAAATTCAATATTTCATTTGATTAACAATAATACTCCATGATATCCATCCACCTATGCCTTAATGCCTTATACACGAAGAGTTTATGTCTTGTTCCATAAACTAATAATGTGTTTGATTTATTGGGTTGGGCCCTATTATATTTTCTTATGGTTTATTTTGTGATTGGACATGTCTATGGTTTGTGGGCTTACTCATATTTAAGGCTTGACCTTTGTAAATTTTATTACTTTTTTTATTTATAGAAATATTATGAATTGGGCTTGGCTGATATGAAGAGGAAGAGTAGTACATAAGCTTATAGGAACAATAGTATTAAATTTTTTTTTTCAATTGGACTTGGGCTATAGCCTAAGTTAGCCCATTACTAGTTCCTTCCTTGGCCGCCACCTGCTCTCTTTCTTTCTCCATCATCATATTAAATATATATATATATATATATATATAAAAGTAACAAAATCAATGAACCCATCAAATCACTTTTCTCTCTTTTACTCCTTATATAAAATAATCAATTACCCATCACATGGCTTCCAATAACAAATATATATATATATATATATATATATATATATATATATAAGTAAATCAAATCCAATCTCTATGGGACTCGCCCACCATCTCAGTTTCCTTTCCCATTTCAGCCACAGCACCACCATTTGATGCCCAAAAAAGATTTCGTACAAAACTCCACGAACTTAATGAATAATTTATTAAAATTAACACTAAAGAATAAAATATTAATAACCCAAAATCACCAATAAAAAATTTTAAATACTCAATCTTGACTAAAACTCATAAAATATAATTTAAATAAAAATCTAAAAAATCCGCGTTATCACAGAGGGAGTGTGTGGAAACATGTAAAATATATTATTTGAAAAAGAAAAGTGAACTATTATTTTGGGACAGATAAAAAAAGAAAAGAAAGAATGACACTTATTTTGAGACGGATGGAGTATAGAATTCGATAAATTATGTAATGACCAACTTAGTTTAGTCCAAATTTCGGTTCCATGGAACCGTTGAGTGAGGAAGATGATGAAGCCGTGATAATAACGAGACGACGACGTCATATGTGTGGTTCTGAGAAAATAAGAGGCCGGAATCACCAATGAACAGGACATTGATATAGAAGATGGGAGGAGGCGGCATCACCAAAGAAGAGATGAGAGGTTTTTCATCAGACGAAACGAAAAAAAAAAAAAAGATGGATAGGAGGAGGCGGCTTCACCAAAGAAGAAATGAGAGGTTTGGTAGGTTTAAAACTTTACATTATGCTTTATTGCTTTTGTGGTTTCCAAGAAGTCAATGACACCAAATCCAGCCCTCGAGGCTTGGACAGGTTGGTAAGACTTGAAACTGCCACACACAATGCCAGTGATCGAATCTCGCCGCATCCCTTATCACCTTCGACTAACCTGATGTTATAGCTTTGGGGCCGGCTACTGTATCTCCAGTTTGATGTCTTTGGGGTGGGTCTGAAGGGCTTTACCTAAGGGAGTTCTGGGTCATTAAAAAAAAAAAAAATGACACCAAATCCAATAATGGGACCACCTGGTTGGGGAATCTGATGTCCACTATACAATTAAATATATATGGCAGACAAACTTGACATTTCATGGTATGTACTAATATAATATATCACTATACAATTAAATATATATGGCAGACAAACTTGACATTTCATGGTATGTACTAATATAATATATATACGGTTCTGATTTTCCCAGTTCGGTTTGGTTCTCACGGTTTCATGATTTCACGATTTTTTTGTGCATCCCTTTCTCTCATGTATAGCCTATGCGTAAAATTATTTTGAAAAAAAACAAGTGCAGATTTCTTTCAATATCCCAAATATATAACTAAAACCTCTATGTTTCCAACATAAACAACATTTCCTACAAACCCATCGGTTAGAACCAATCTAACCTGGAAACTGAGATCTAATGTGTGCCTCACTGAGCCTTTGTTGGGGCTACTGACCCAATCAAACCTGGAATGTCGTCACACCATATGATTCAACATTTAGCATTAATGTGCACCGCATGTGGGATCTGTCAATTAAAATATACTATTTTTGTGCAAGTATTATAAAATATGCATGTCAGATGTTGTCATTGCAAAGGTCATCTATTTGCAATTATTGATACTCAATGATAATTGCAAATAGATTTTTTAGTATAAAATATGTTGCGAAGGCAATGGATGGTCTATCTTCACTTGCAATGGCAACTCCCATTTCAGAAAATATTTACTCTCCTTCTACCTTATTTGGTGACCTCCCTAAGGAGGAATGCATGGGATTTGATCTCTACCAATGGGAAGGCTTCTGGTACTACCTTCCAAACCTTGCAGGTGCCATAAGATCTCGTTCGAGCTTCCAGGCACGTGATGAGGACGTTATCTTGGCGTCCTCTATGAAGACTGGCACCACCTGGCTCAAGGCTCTGATACCATGCATAATGCACCCTAATGTTCGTAGTATTGGTGATGGTGATGGTGATGGTGATGGTGATGGTGATGACGATGATGATTCTGATCCGTTGCTCAAAAACCATCCAAACGCGCTCATCCCATCTTTAGAAGTCCATATCTTTGCAGAGAACTATACTTACAACATCTCAGCTATGCCATCCCCTAGACTCTTCCGAACTCATGCGCCTTGCACAATGCTACCGGAGTCCATCAAGACTTCCGGCTGCAAGATTGTGTACATCACTCGAAACCCCAAGGACACATTTGTGTCAGCATGGCACTTCATGAACACAAAGAGGATGCCAGGAGAAGGGACATTCCCTATAGGTGAGAGTTTTGAGAAATTCTGCAGAGGGGTTCATCTCTACGGGCCCTTTCATGACCATGTCCTAGGGTATTGGAAGGAGAGCATGATGAGGCCTGAGAAGATACTATTCTTGAGATACGAGGATGTGAAGAGAGACACAAGAGGGCAAGTGAAGAAATTGGCTTCATTTCTTGGAAGACCTTTTGCCAAAGAGGAAGAGGTTGAGAAGATAGTATGGATGTGTAGTTTAGAAAGGTTGAAGAACTTGGAAGTGAACAGAAATGGTGTGGACCCTTTTGTTGGGATGTTGAAGAGTGCTTATTTCAGGCTTGGTGTTGTTGGGGATTGGAAGAATAGCTTATCCAAGGAGATGGAGGAGCAACTTGACGAAATCACGCGCCAAAAGATGGAAGGCTCTGGTTTAGATCTTTTAATTTAGTAGTTTTCTTGCATCTTTTAATTTAGTTTGGAGCTATTGTTAATTTTTCTTGTATTTGTCCACTTGTCCTAGTACAAATTTAGAGAAGTTTCTCACCTCATGAAACTTCTCTAGTAAATTTTTTTTTTTTTTTTCATCCACACCCTTTTGGTTGAGAGGGAGATCCCCTGTTTTATGTGCATGCCTCCAAGTCTATGATTGGAGGAGTCGATCCGTACTGATCCCTGTGCTGGAGTAGGTATTCAAAGCTAATATAAGGCAAAAGATAGAAACTAAACGGAAACCAATCCCGACCTCTATCTTCAGCAACTATCAATTCACCAAAGACGACGACTTCTGCTTCTGCCTTATTTGATGACCTCCTAAAGAAAAATTTAAGTTGATCTCTATCAATGTGTGTTGGCTGATTGATGGGCACCTTGGTTTTGATTGCTTGTAGTCACCATCTTGATTGATCTTCTTCAGAGTTTGTTTTTCCGTCAATAAGCTTCACACCCAGTTTGTTCTTGATCGAAATCAAGCTTTGATACCACTTATGTTGGTGTAGGAATGAAAGAGTCAACAAATATTATTATTCTTGTATTTAATTCTTTGTTGTGTTGATATATCTTAACAACAAATCCCTTATACTATATATACTATTTTCTCAAAGACCTTTAAACTTTTCAAAACAATTCTCAACCAGACATATGATACATGCACTCACTTGATACATGTACACTAACAAATACATAAATAAACGCAAAATGCATAATGAACATGGCATTAAATTAATTTTAACAATGGGAAGGCTTTTGGTATGCACTTCCACACCTTGTAGCTGCCATGGCAGCACGATTGAGCTTCAAGGCACGTTTGTGGTTTTGTTGAAATTTTTTTTTTTTTTTTTTTTTTTTTTTCAGTAAAATATATATATTTTTCATTTTTACTTTTTTGGTGCTTGTCAAAGGTCTAGATTGAGTTTGAGGTCGAGTACGTCTATCGGGCTGGACGTGAAAAATAACTTGTAAAAATTAATGGTAAGTTATTTTTATTAGATTTTAATTTTTTTTTCTTAGTAAATATTTTAGGACAACCAAACGCCATAAAATTAAAAAATCTAAAAAATATTTTAAATCCAAACACACAGAGCCTTCATTTAAGAATTTATATGACATTATATCTGTTCAGATGCAGTATCCAAGATCAGTATGATGATTGTATAAAACTTATCTGATGTACGAATAGATAAAAAGGTTAACTGTGTTTTACACTAAAAAAACATAATCCTAAATGGTCACTCCTTCATTTGCTTTCTTATGTTCAACACTAGCAGTTGTTGTTGATGTTGATCCTAGTATAATTTCAACATATTCAGAATACTTGACAAGAACAAATCACATGAATTGGTTGTATCTTGCTGGACTCAACAAGAAAAAAATGCTTCTGAAATCAGGACCTGTTTGGTTTCCTGGAAAATTATTTCCTAGTCAAGATCCAAATGGTTATTACTTCCAATGCTAGTATGAATCACCTTGGGAAGTCACAGGACTTGTTACCCTCTTGGTTTTTATTTTTTAATTATTATTTAAAAAAAAAAAAAAAAAATTCCAATGCCACAACTCATAATTAATCTCTTCCACCTCCTCATCTATACCATCACCCTCAAGAGACATCCCAAGAACTCAGCCTACCTCTTGAAATAAGTCTATGGATAATTCTTTTGCTTTTTGTAAACGATAAAGACATTGTCTTGGATCTCTCCAAGCTCTTCTTCTGGTATCCAACTCATCCTTATTAGGTGCATTATGCATATAGGTTTTTCCGTAGTTGCCAGTTTTGCTTCCAAAGTTGAGGAAGAAGTGCTGATGAGACAAGTGACAACTTCTCAAGGCAATGGTTATGGCAGAAAATAATTTTTGTAGAGGTATAATAAAATCTTCGTCAAGTCTGCATTATTATTAATGAAAGTAGTTTTTCTGATTCTATTTCTAAGAACAATTTGTTCTTGGACAATAGAAGTAATGAAAATTCTTAGAAAATCCGTTTACTTCAATAATGCACCATAATGCTCGTAGAATTGGCTATGGTGATGGTTATGATGATGATGATTCTGATCCTTTGGTCAAAATCATCCAAATGCACTCATCTCATCTTTAGAAATCAAAATCTTTATATAGAGAACTCTGCTTACAACATCTCAGATATGCCTTCTCCTAGATTCTTTCGAACTCTTGTGCCTTATACAATGCTACCGGCTTCCATCAAGAGTTCCAGCTGAAAGATTGTGTACATCACTCGAGATCCTAAGGACACGTACATTTGTATCACAAGGAGGATGCCAGGAGAAGGTTCCCTATGGGTGAGAGTTTTGAGACATTCTGCAAAGGGGTTCTTGGAAGGAGAGCATGATGAAACCTGAGAAGATTCTATTCTTGAGATGTGAAGATATGAAGAGAGACACTTGAAATGTGACTTTAAAGTAAAAGCAGTTACTCTCAAACTCAAAGAATTTATGCTAAATTGATACCAAAATTTTCAAATGTGGCCCCTGCCATCACTTTATCTTAGTAAGACTTGCTGAAACTATTATTGTTCAATTCAATCACAATGAAGTTTACCATCACTGTATTGAGTAGAATTTAGTAATAAGCAATTCAATGGTTGTTGAGAAAAGGGGCTCTTTGCCCCCACTCTAACCTGGAAAATGAGACCTAATGATTCACCCTTTAGTCAGTGTTCCCCACTATCTTATGCAATTATTGGAACTTTAATAATCAACCCATATTGATGCCTTTGCTGTATAAGGTATTCAAAGTTAATATATAAACTAAAAGGAAACCAATCCCAACCTGTATCTTCACTTGCAATGGCAACTATCAATCCACCAAAGACTACTTCCACTTCTGCTTTATTTGATGACCTCCCTACAGAGAAATGGATAAATCTTGCTAATCTCTATCAATGGAAAGGCTTCTGGTATCGACGTCCACACCTTGAAGCTGTCATGGAAGCTCGATCCAGCTTCAAGGCACGTGATGAAGACGTTATCCTGGCATCCTCTATGAAGACCGGCACAACATGGCTCAAGGCTCTCATACCATCCATCATGGACCCTAATGCTAGAATAGTTGGTGAGACTAATAGTGATGATAATTCTGACCCTTTAGTCCAAAATTTTCCCAATGTACTAATCCCATCTTTTGAAATCCAAATATTTGCAGAAAACTCCACCTACAATATCTTAGACATGCCTTCTCCTAGACTCTTTAGAACTCACATGCCCTACGCAATGCTACCGGATTCCATCAAGACCTCAGGCTGCAAGATTGTGTACATCACTCGAGATCCCAAGGACACTGTCCTGTCACTGTGGCACTTCATGAACTCAATTAGGAAGCCAGAGGAAAGGCCATTTCCCTTGAATGAGTTTTTTGAGAGCTTTTGCAAAGGGCTTCATCCCTTTGGGCCTTTTCATGACCATGTACTTGGTTATTGGAAGGAGAGTATGATGAGGCCTGAGAAGATACTTTTCTTGAGATATGAAGATATGAAGAGAGACACAAGTGGTCAAGTGAAGAAGTTGGCTTCTTTTCTTGGAAGGCCTTTTGCAAAAGAGGAAGAAGTTGCTAAAGTAGTGTGGATGTGCAGCTTTGAAAGGCTCAAAAACTTGGAAGTCAACAAAAATGGGGTAGAACCTGATGCTGGGTTTCCTAAGAGTGCATATTTCAGGCTTGGTGTTGTTGGGGATTGGAAGAACAGCTTATCTATGGAGATGAAGAAGCAGCTTGATGAGATTACTTGTAACAAGCTTGAAGGCTCTGGTTTAGATCTTTTAAATTAGTTAGTGGTTATTGTTTGTCTTGCATATTGTACTGGACCTACTACTAGAAAATAAAATTACAAAAATGTTTCGCACATATAGTGCAACCCATATCTAAATTATAACCACCACCAATTTTTATTTTTATTTTTATTTTGTTAACCACCATCTGCTCTAAACGATGAAGTTCTTACAGGGAGTGTCACATTAATATTTATATCCTCTAACACACCCCTCATGTGTGTCCTTCTTTTTGGTTCAACATGTGTTTCAATTTTAATTATCAGTGACATTTGTCTCTGGTACCATGTTAACCACCATCTTTAAAAACTTAAGCTCATAAAGAGGGTGTCACATTAATATTTATATCCTCCAACATTTTTGACAAAAACTAGTGGCATCTTCAACTACTTGGGTTAATTTAAAAACTTTCCACGGGTACTTGATCCCAAGGATTTTTTTATTTTTATTTTTCTTATTAACAAAGAAAATTATTGCATAGAGTATTGTTGAGTTTCATTACCATGAATGCCTTCCCATAGTTTTATCATTGGTAAACCTCTAAAATGGGTGTTTTTGAATTGCTGAGCCAAAGCTTGTTTGGATGGTGGTCAATAGTGAAAACAACTAAAGATGGCCATTTAGTCCAGTGGAACTAGGAAGAGGTGGGAAATGAAAACATGGTCATGAAAAAGTACCTCACTTTATTGAGCTTAGGTCAGTGAGACCTAAAATTGGGGCCTCTAAAACCCAAGAATATAGGGCATTGTAGGGGCTATTATGGAAAATTGAACCTGGAATTACATAGCTGAGTTAAGTCCATTTTTTGTTTTTTGCTTTGGTTGGGTCCTATTCTGGGAAATTGCTCTACTTAGAGATAAGTTAGGTTCTGTTTTGGTTTCTTCCAATCATCACACTTCATGTTTCTAGTGAGCAGTCACACACCCCTTTCCTTACTGCCATACTGCCCTTAAACCCATCCCTCCATAGAGAAAGAGAGAGAGAATCTTGATATAAAATCGGACGGCATTATTTCAACGACTATAGATTTGGAGCCAAACAGGTATCACCGCATGTTAGATTGCATTAGCTGGGGAGGTAGAAGAAATATTGAGATGATTCCTTTTCAATGTGAACTAGACACATGTCCTGTATCCCCACGTACATATGACTCACTTTGGACACTTCTCATCGACTGTGAGTCCGATCGAGCTACGCGTTGTATTGCATTATTGCAGAGGATCCTTACTCTATAGAGACCACCCATGTTTCTACTTTGTAACATTGGAACATTCATGATTTGACAAGCAGACATAACATTAAAGAGTCTCTATAACTCATCCCGTGATGAGACATAGACCCGTGAAGAGAGAGAGAACCTCTGTTGAGACAAAACCATCACTTTTAGCATCTTTAATTAACTGAAGACCTTTTTTTTTTTTTTTTTTCATTATCACAACTGTTTTACTAAGAATATTTACAACGTTTGGAATTACATTTGTTGCAGTAGAATGTCTTCATCTGACCCAAAGATAAACTTAGGACTGTCAAAAAGTCTGAAAATCTCTCTGGGTTGATAGCCAAGTGGTGAAAATTAAATAATAGTATATATTCATATGTGCACAAAATATTTAACTTGGACACAAATATGTGGTGTTGATTTCACTTAAGAATTTGTAATAATTGGTGCACTGAAAACAATATATCTATTCACATGCAATATCCAAGATGAGTATGATGACTGTATAGAACTTGTATGATTGACATATTGATAGAAAGCAGAAATTTCTTGACATTAAGCACAAATCACATCACTTGGTTGTATCTTGCTAGCCTTAACAAGAAGAAAGTTTTTTCTGAAATCAGGACCAGTTCGGTTGCCTAGAAAATTTGAAATCTAATTTCTTGTCAAGATCCAAATTGGTTAAATAGGACAGTCTCATTGCTATTTGCTACACCATTATGATACTGATACTTATTTTAAGGGGTGCGAATGGTTTAGGTGCCATTGTAGGATTTGGGAGGGGTCAGATGTATGCAATCTTACTTCTGTTGTAAAGAGACTTTTAAATTTCAAACTCGTGACCTCTAAATCACAACGGAGCAACATTGCCGTTGCGCCACGGACTATCCTCGAGAACATGTTAAACACTATCTTAGGATATAACACATATCAAGTGTCTCATGAAAAAACATTACAACTGTGTAAAGCAAACATATGGCATGACCATGCATGCAAACCACCACCTCCAATTCAGTTATTATAAATCATAAGAGTCATAGCTCATGAAATATGTGGCCACTAGCTATATGGATCTCGTGAACCAACAGCTCTTCTAGCCAATTCTACATCAAGAAACAACAAACTCAATAAAGTTAAATAACAAAGAACAGCAAAGCAGAGCCAATCACTCTCGATCTCTATCATCTTTCCATCTCAAGATTTCCTTCTTTTTGTGTGTTTGGTTGCAAGGAAATGAATCTACATTCACTGCTTATAGTTTACAGTTGACAGGTTTGTGCATGAATGACATAAAGAGGCTTAGCCCCTTGTTTCATTTCACATTATAAATTAAAGAAACCTTATCTTTTCTATCTTAGACAACTAGGAATGACACAATAATACATTCTAGTACAGAAACACACACTTGATATATATATATATAAGCCAATCCACCTAGTCATTGTTAATCATATTGGAGAGATCGAAGTTTCGAAATGTCTTGGTTCCTGACTATCATCATTCTCAGCTTCATCACATTTCATAATCTGGCAGACGCTAAACATGAGAAGAAGCAGCTTCCATCTGCAGTTGTTGTTGGCACTGTTTATTGTGACACATGCTTCATGGAGCAATTCTCAAAGACTAGCCACTTCATTTCAGGTTCATTTCAACACTAGTGAATTTAATTTGTTCTCTTTATATATATATATGCACACACACATATATCAATACTAATTTTCAATTGAGAGGGCTAAAATATGTTCATTGTCGGGAAAATTGTGCTTAGGTGCATCGGTTGCAGTAGAATGTGGAGGAGACACAAGTTCAAGAACAAGTTTCCGCGAGGAAGTGAAAACAAATGAGCATGGAGAATTCAAAGTTCATCTACCCTTTTCAGTTAGCAAACATGTCAAGAAGATTAAGCAATGTTCGGTGAAGTTGATCAGCAGCAATGAGCCCTACTGTGCTGTGGCATCAACAGCAACTTCGTCTTCGCTCCATTTGAAGTCGAAAAAACAAGGAACTCACATTTTCTCAGCAGGGTTTTTCACATTCAAGCCTCTAACACAGCCAGACCTATGCAACCAAAAACCAAGTATAAAAAATTCCAAGGAATTCAATTCCATGAAACCTTTTGTCCCAACTCCTCCTATTACAACATTTCCACCCACAATTCAAGACCCTCCAACACCAGTTATACCACCCATTGATCTGCCTACGCTTCCACCACTGCCACTACTCCCTCCTCTGCCACCACTTCCTGGATTTTCAGATCTCCCAATCCCAACAGTGCCTAAAAAGCCAACACTTTCAAAAACCACAAACAATTTAAAAAAATCTCAATTTTTAGATCAAAAGGAAATCTCCTCAGACTTTTTACCAACCATACCTCTCTTTCCTTCACCACCGGTTTTTGGAATTCCGAATCCATTTCAGCCGCCTTCACTACTTCCTCCTAACCCTTTCCAGCCACCACCTTCCTTGATTCCTCCCAACCCTTTTCAGCCACAGCCACCACCTTCAATATTTCCTCCCAACCCTTTTCAGCCCCCATCTTCACCGCCTACTTTCAATTTGCCACCATTACCGGGCTTGACTCCATCATCACCGCCGCCACCACCACCCTTCACAATTCCTCTCCCTCCATTCCCATTTCAACCATCCCCTGGCTTCCCTGGTGTTCCACCAGCTTAAAGCCTTTCCTTGATTAATATATAATTATCTAGTCATGTATAATTTTATGAGAATAACTGTCAGATGTAGCTCAATTCTACCTTTTTTTTTTTTTTTTTTTTTTTTTTGGGTTTTCATAATGATAATATGGTCATGGCCTTATTTTGGCAGAACAATGGGGTTGACTGGAACACGTAATGTGAATGTTAAGTATCAATGAGAATTGCAGGATATTAAATCATTTGTATTTGAAATAAAGCTGAAGCTCCAAAAATGCAACAATCATTTTTCAGCAGAAAATTCACTCTGAGACGGTTATGCAACAGTCACTTCATTAAGAAAACTAATATAGCTTATTAATTCAGCTGTCCCTTAGAAGCTAACTGTTAAATATTAGTCTTCTCTATTTCAATATGCACCCTCCATGTTTAAGCCAAGATTATAGCTTAATCTTCTTTTCTTCAAAGATCAATACTTTGATAGTACCTCATTGGAGTGGCAGCATAACAAATTGCAAGTTTTGTTTTATTGTTATGACAATAAGAACGCAGTCAAGAAACACGACAGTAACCACACTCCACACAAAGAAAATAAAGATTTATATAGTTCGGCGTAAAAACTACATCCATGAAAAAGAACCCATGTAAGACAGGAGGTTGCAACTTTCAACTCCCAAACCCTCTTTCTTTGTCACTCTTTAAATTGTGTCTCTAAGTGTTTTCTCATAGCATATCCTAAATCTTAATCTTCTGAATTACGAGAGTTCTCAAAGTAGTAAGAAAAAGATCGGTCAAAAAGTAAAAATTGAGAGGCAAGGGATTTGAGCCCAAACAAAATTAGAGCCACGACTTCACATTTAACATGGCCAAAAATAATATTCGCCCATCATTTTGTTAACCAGTGCAAAACTATCAAAACCCAAAAAGGAGAACTGGTTACAGTACATTAAATTGGCCTTTGTCAGAACTTAAAACTTTCATCATGGGCTTTAATCAATCAATTCAAACAGGCCATGTGGTATTGACAACATTGTTACATTGGACTCTTTTGACAAAAATGAACATATCCAATTTTTAATGTATAGCTGGTTATGAACTTATGATTAATTCATTCTAATATGACCAAGCGGTTGCTGTGGTGTAGTGGTTATCACGTTAGTCTTACACACTAAAGGTCCCCAGTTCGATCCTGGGCAGCAACAGGCCTTTCTTTCTTTTTTTTATTGAATAATTAACTAGCAACCTTTATTTATTTTTTTTTTATTGTTTTGCTACAACTTATTGCCCTCTCTTTAAATCATCCACATCTTTAATTATCTTTTATTTATTCTTTTGTTGGAACCCCATTTTTTTGAACAATTTTGCTCCAACTTATGAAAAATTATTTTGTCCCGAAACAATCATCATTTTAGATGGTGATTGGCGGAGACCATATAATAATTTTTCGCGACTTATTCTCCTCTCTCTCTCTCTCTCAAATTCTCCTACTGGAATGCCATTTCTTTTCTTTAAAATAGGATAAAAATGAAAACAATAAAAAACTAGTACCTGAGCTTGGTTTTTTAATGAAACATCAAAAAGCATTGTGGATTGCTGGCTAAGAAAACTAAAAGTCTAAGAAAGTAAAAGCAGATAAAAAAGAAGCCATGTGATACATCAGCTGACAAAGGCATGGAAAAAAGAGTAAGAAAAGTTCAAAAAAGTGGGGGAGGGTGGGGTGAGGGAAGAAAAAGGACTTGACCAATTGCAAAACCAAACAAAAGTACTGGCAGTAAATTAATACCATAGGGATCACACCACTCCACCAAAGAAATAACTTTTCACATGATAGAAAGGTTTGGTAGTCTACTTATCTTTCTCATTACCTTTTTTTTACTCCTTTTGCCTTCCACTTGTGACATTCTCCCGTCCCCAAACTTCGTAACGCCTTTATTGCAGTCAAGTCATCCTACTCATTGGTTTATAGAAGAGTTCGAGAACTTGACGTGACACTGAATCGATTAAAGAATGGATCTAACTTTGATATTAATTATTAACAGGTCGAGTGATTTGCAATTCTATCAAAAAAAATTAAACTATTAGAGGAGACTTACACCTAACTCAAATATACTCATTCACCTCACCATTCGAATCCAATGTGGATCAAGTCCAACTTGTAACAGTTAGTACCATTTCCATAATTCTTGCCATACTATTAGATTTGGATATATATATATCCAAATCTAATAGTATATATATCCAAATCTAATAGTATGGCAAGAATTATGGAAATGGTACTAACTGTTACAAGTTGGACTTGATCCACATTGGATTATATATATATATATATATATATATATATCCAAATCTAATAGTATGGGTCGCGCTTTGGCAAGAATTATGGAAATGGTACTAACTGTTACAAGTTGGACTTGATCCACATTGGATTATATATATATATATATATTGGATAATTATATATATATCCAAATCTAATAGTATGGATCGCGCTTTGGCAAGAATTATGGAAATGGTACTAACTGTTACAAGTTGGACTTGATCCACATTGGATTATATATATATATATATATATATATATATATATATATATATATCCAAATCTAATAGTATGGGTCGCGCTTTGGCAAGAATTATGGAAATGGTACTACCTGTTACAAGTTGGACTTGATCCACATTGGATTATATATATATATATATTGGATAATTACCTACTAAATTTTAAATATAACTAAGATTTTAATGTTAATGAATCTACAATGGTCTCTATGTAACATTTCGTGTGTTTTTCAATATGAGAGTTGAACCTTGAATTATGACGTTCAAGTATGATAAACTAACTTGAACGTGGCTCGAAAAATTCTTCAATATTGTCATTCACCAATCTGTCAAAATGAATTTTTGGTTGCTTAGAATTTGGAGGTATTCATTGATATATATAATTTTTTTCTCTTAATTTTGTATTCATCTTCTAATTATATTAATTATTTTCTCTATGGCTTTACAAATTATAAAAGATAATAATTTTGTTGGGGGTAGATTCTCAGTAATTGAAATTAGAAAAAAGACAAGTGAAGGGCATTTATGGGATATGATATTTTAGATTGGGTCGGTTGCCCTTATTTATCAAACAAATTACTAGTATAATTTTAGGGATGAGTCTTTTATAAAAATATTAATTTTTTTTTGGAGAGTATGCCTTTATTATTAAAAAATGACAATTACGCCACATGCCTTTATTATTAAAAAAATGGAGACTAATCTCCCACAGAATTGACGATTTCACTTGAGCGTACTGGGTTGATTATACAATTATGGGTCGAGCTTAGAAAACACTTTAAAATAATTTTAAATTTTAATTTGATTAAATTATTTTTACTATATCATTTTATAAAATATATAAAAATAAATAATTTTATAAAATGATCATAACAGATACGATTGGAGGATGTCCCTCTCGTGCAAAAAACATCCACAAAGTTTCAATCTGATGCAAATAAGTTCCTCTCAAAAATTTAAACCCTAAATTTACTAAATTACTCTTACTGAACCATTTTATAAAATATATAAAAATAATAATAATTTTATAAATGACTAAAAATGACACTATTGGAGGACGCCGGCGGGCAAGTAAAGATAAATATATAAAATAAAAATAAAAGTATGAAAGAAAAGTAAAGATAAAAATAGAAAATAAAAAACAAAAATAAAGTGTAAACTAAAGAAAATAAAATTTTGCCACACTCCGAAAACCAGTGCACACTGATATTGAGATTTTTTTTTTTTTTTTTTTGGTTTAATAATGTTGGTATGAAAAAAAAAAAACAAAATAACGAAAAAAAAATTTAATAGAAAAGAATGAACTAGAATCTCAAAAAATTCAAATTCTTATTCTACATATTCTCAAAGTTTTTTTTAAAAAAATGTTTAGAAATATATATAGAGAAAAAAAGTTTCAAAAAAAAAAAATATATATATATATATAAGGTAATGTGCACATAACACCCTATACTATGAGATTAGTAACATATATACCTTCGGCATTCTTAGAAGAGTAAAAGGAAAAAACGGGTATTACAATATTAATTTATGTCAGATAGGCTATATTTGCACAATATGAAAAGATTAGGGATAACTTTTGCATACTTTTTCAAATAAGAAGTAAAAGTGCTACACGAAAAATACTTTAGGGGTGTTTTCTACACTTATCCCGTTTAATTGTAGTTGGTAAATACTTATATTATTATGCACTTGGAGCAATATATATGGTACTTACAATGTGGGGGCATTTTTATTCCCCATATATCATGCAATTTTGATTTGCAATCAGACATACATGTTTCATTGAGTAAATCATATACTTGACATAAGAAAGCACCATTTTTACCTATTTTTTATGTATCCAAAAAAAAAGAGGTTAATATTACTGTTTACTTCATATCTTCAAATTTTTTTCTTTTCCCCTTATAATGCTCAACCATATCATCCTATTTCCCCTTGAATGCATGACAATGAGTTGGCTAACACAATGACTAAGGGTATGTTTGGAATGTAATTTTTTTTTTTTTTTTTTTTGGATTTATTTTTTCTCTGTATATTATGCAAATTTGAATTGCAATAAAAAATACTCGTTTTATTGAGTAAATCAAATACTTAGACATATGATTAAGGTCCCCTCGGTAAAATTTAGTAAATATTAACAAATAATTAATAACGTGTATAAAACATTATTTTCTTCCAACTTTTTTTACCGTATTCTTTTGTTAAATGCTGAAAAATGATCAATGTCTTTTATTTTTATAACATGTATTAAGTGCATGAACCATTTAACAATATTTAAAAAGCTGAAATTTAAGAAAAAATTAAAACTGTATTGACAAGGTTTTGAAAATGTTGTAGATTAAGATAAAAATAATTTGTTGTAAAAAATAAGTATTTAACAACATATAAGTATGTACCATTTAAATTTTGGGTTGTTAATAATCATTTTTCTTGTAGTGCAAGCTTTTTCTGTGGAAGGTTTAATGGTGGTTTTCAATGATATCCTCTCTCTCATTAAGGATTGTGTGGGTTTTTCCCTTGCTTGGGTTTCTCGTTGAAGGAACGTCGTAACTCATGTGTTGAGCAAAAAGGCTCTTACAGTCAAATGTGATGATGTTGAGTTGAACATATGGTTCCAATGGTTGTTAAATCTTCTTCTCTTTTCTTGTGAATGAATTCTTTTTCCTTTTTGTCAATACACACACACACACACGCAATATACTCGAGACAAAAGAAACCGCCATTTCTACATATTTCTTATTTACTTATATAAAAATGAGTCGTGATACTCGGGCGAAAATATTAAACTAATTTGTTAAGTAGAATTTACAAAAAAAAAAAAAAAAAACAAATTAATATGACAATCATATGGTCTCACTAGTATGTCCATTAAAACAACATGAATTTTCAAAGGCAAAATTACCTTATAATACATTCTCGTATCCATCCTATCTTTGTTATGATTACTTAAGTGAAATCATCGTTTCAAAAATAACTGTAATTAAAAATCCCTTAAATTTGTTTTATAAATTTTATTAGAACACTATATCTCTCTAAATAGATGTGCAATTCAATATCCATAACTTTGTTTTTAAAATTTTTATCAAAACACTCCCCCTCTCCTTTATATATATATATATATATATATATATATAGATGTTTAAGAATATGGAAAATTATATAGATAGATGTATAAGAATATACAAAATTTTGCAAAAGTTAAAAATAAATAAATAAATAAAAACCAGCGAGGGAGCCCCTGCCCTGCCTTTTTTTATTTCTTACAAGATTTCTCCCTAAAATTCTAAATTTCTAAAAATATATGATAAAATTTTCTTGTACTTTTTAAATTCTTTTGATTCCTTATTAGAAAAAATGTTATATTCCCTTTTTTAGTTAAATCCTAATTTTGTTTTCTTTTCAAAGTACTTTCTTTTTTCTTTATTTTTTTGTTAAAGACTATGATGCATCGTTAAAGCGACTAAGTCTAATTAAATTAATGAAAAGCAATGGGCAGTTGATTTTTTTTTTTTCTTTTACTTTTTTCATAAGTACACTACACCCCTTGAAATCCTGACTTGACTTGATCAACACCCTTATACAAGAAATCAATAATAGACTAAATTGAATTAGCTCGTCAATTCCAAGTATTGTAAAATGATATATTTGTGTATCGGGAAGAAAATAAAGAATGATTTGATTATAAGATAAAGATGGATGAAGAGAGATAATATGGGTAATTGAGATTCTTGGTAATTAGGATTCTGTAAGGATAATTTTGTCTTTAAAATTTTATATTTCTAAGTATAGTACAATTATAATAACACATTACTATCGGAGTGACACATTATCATCGACTTAAGTTTTAGGTTTGAGTATTCGGTATAAGTATCATTTTTTTATACAAATAGATTAATATTAGTGTTTATTTCCATATCTTCTGTTCTTTCCCCTTTTAATACTCTACCATGTCATCCAATTTTTTTTTGGAAGATATGGCAATTAATTGGCTAACACAGTGACTAGGCTTAGTTTGGTGTATTTTTTTGTTTTTGGGTTGTTGTTTTTGTTCTTTTTATATATATATATTAATTATTTTGGGCCTAGCAGCATTATTTTGGATCGTAATAGCTGTGAGTAGTGATTTGTTTTATATACTACCGAAACATTTTATGGTTCAAAGTCAAAAAACTAATTTAATATTTACATGTTTCTGCACCCTAAGAGCAACACTATGACAATGAACAGTACTTGAAAAAGAAAATTTAACTTTCTAAAGAATTATAAAATAGCGGTTTTAAACTTAGATATTATATTTTTCAAATTTATAATTTTTTTTTACAAATTGTATTTTTTCATATCTTTCACTTTCAAAAATTTTACTTCAAATTTTATGTTATCAAACGTGTTTCCAATCACTATTAAAAACCACAACATAAACATTATATCTTTTTCGAATGAAAACAGTAACACAAAATATTTTGTGTTTCTAAGCAGGCCTTGAGCTGTGGAAGGAACATTTAGGTTGATTGTTCTCATCCCCCAATCTAATCTCTTTTATTGTTAAATAAAAAAAATCCTTCAATATTCTTATTTAATAGTATTCAATATTCTTATTTAATAGTAGTGGTCGCATATGAAACCATAAAATGACAAAATATAAACAATGATTATAACATGTATAAGGAAATAAAATAAAAATGAAAATAAAAATAAAAATAATTTCAAAGTTTTGTCTCAAAATTATACCCATACCCTAAGTCATATATAGTAGGAATGGGAGCGAATTTGAGAACAGGAGCGTAAGAGCGGCATAATTAAGTTATGAATAATGAGAATTTGAGCAAGAGTGTGCACGAAACGTAAGAGTGGGAGCGCGTTCGGAATGTGAGGGTGACACGTTGTGAAGAATTGTGTAACTTAGCCCATACCTACAACTACATATGTATTTTTAATATTTTAATAAATACATTTTTTTATTAAAAAATGTTACTACCTCCGTCTCAATTTAAGTATTCTTTGTGGGGAGTATTAACTTTTAAGGAAACAAGAAAGACATGCATTATTTGTTTAGAAAATTACTAATTTGTCCTTTTAAGTTTTGAATATTTAAGTTTAAAAATTTAAATTCAAAGGATATATATGTAAAGATGTGAAAAAGAAAATGAATTATTATTTTAGGACAGACAATATATATATATTTTTTTTCAAAATTCACTGATTTTTGCAAAGAATGACTTCGAAATTAAGCAAATGCTTTAGAATACATTCCTTTCTGGTTGCCCAAATGTTATTTCACCGCCTTTTAATAACCATGTAGTATGTAATATATATATATATACATCATCATTTCCACTGAACCCTCCGCTTAAATCTTTCAATAAATCCTCTCTCTCTAACTTCACCTCAATCTTTCTCTCTCCCAAACTTAGCTCTGCAATTCGGGAGCTTCCGCTCTCCGATCAGACTCGTTTAATGCACTGATCATCAAACCACACACTAGTCCAATCGCTTCACAGTCATGGCCGAAATTGCCAAACTCGTCGAAGCTCTCTTCGAGGACAAGCCATCTAGCGATCTCTCTCAGAGACTTCGCTTCGATTCGTCAATCAAGCTAGGGCTCGAGAAGTTCTACTCGATCCTCACACACGGCGTCGAAGCTATCGGAGATGGAAAAGTAGGGCTGGAACGCTGGGACGAGTCTCAGAATCAAGCCGTTGGTTCCGTAGCCTGCGCGATAGCTTACGCCACTCGATCTCTCTCAGGTACTCTATTCATTTCCATCCAGTTCCACGAGAATTATATGCATATGTATATAGAGTTGAATTTTGTAATCAGTTTTGCGTTTATATTGTGATTGAACAGTTGAGCATGCGGAGCCTATAATTGTTGCTGTGGTGCAACAGTCGTTGAATTTCGCAATATGCTATTTGGAAAAATCAATGCGTAGCAGTGATGATTTGACTGTTCAGGTTTGTACTTGTATAGCTTCGTTTAGTTCACATGAGCTACTGTTATTGTTTGATGGAAGCATAGAGGGGATTTTAATACCTAGAATTTATAAGTTTTTCTTACTAATCAATCAAAATTTTATTACTATTTTTTTTCTTTTAAAATAAATTTGTTGATGTCCCTGTAATAAATAGATTAGGTTCATAGGTGTATCTGCTCTACATCAGCTAGTTGCAGAATTGCATCATGTTTGGAAATTAATTTCTAGGAAAATTGTATGTGGCCTGAATATCAGATTTGTTTTTTTTTACAGAATAGATATTATTCTTGATTAGGTGCTAGTTTCGTTTGTTTGCTTTTTTTTTTTTTTTGAAATGGAAAATTTAGTTATAAATTCGAATTTGCATTGAGTGAAAATCATTGTTTTGGTTAAAATGTTCAATAATGTTTGATTATTGATAGTAGTGGTTTATCTTCAATTCTTGTTTCTTGTCTAGTAGGTGCATGTTGTGGCGATGTCAATTGATTTCCTAGCTTTGCACAACCAGATAGAAGTGGATGTATATATATATTTCTATTAAATTTTATAGAATTTGCAGGGTCTCTGTTTATTTATTTACCAATTTTATATTTGTTCATTGCAACACATATCAGGTATTGTTTATTTTGGACATCTTCAGTTGGACAATTTTTTTTTTTATGGGGTGTTGTTGACTATTCACAAACACTGAACAAAGGTTGTGTTTTATTTAGTACAATTTGGAATATCTGATGCCAACCAATTGAATCACCTAATTTTTTCATGTCCAAAAAAGCCCCAAAAAAACTCATTTTTAGATGTCACAAGTCTTTCAAGCTGGAAAATAAAATATATCAAATTGGTCGGCAAAGGTGCTATGTAATACAATATGGAATGCTACTACAAGATTTCCATGAACGATTTCAGCTTTTGAGGCAATTGGAAGCTCCCAAATTGATATGCAAGTGAAAGAACTGGGTCCACTGCCCATGTGAAGTTGGTAAAATTAGTGAATGAATAAGTTCGTGAGAATTGCTTCACTTTGAATTGTTACCTATTTGGAACCTAGCTGTTTCCTGGTGTTTTTATTTTATGTTAGTGCATCTTATATATTTTGAATTCATAATCTTTTAGGTTTTGCCAAAAGTTGTAGTCGACAAGCCATTTGCAATGGTGAAGAGATGCTACTTGATATGTATATAAAGTCAGGAACTGCCTTAGTTTATTTGTCTGTCTGTTTGTTTGTCTTTTTTTTTTTTGGTGCTATGTGGCACAGTGTTATTAAAGGCTCAAGGCGCTAGAGGTCCTTTGGAGCCTAGGCGCACGGCGAGGCGCGCGCCCGAGTGAAGTGAGGCGTACAATTGAAATTTTAAACTACCATAGTAGCATTCATATCTCACAAGTCATATCAATATTCTAAAAATTAATATCAACTATAAAAAAGTAAATCCATCAACTATATAAGCATTCAAGAACCATAAAATATAGCACAAATTTGTTTTCTTGAAAGGCAAAACAGAGTATAAAAAGAAATAAGTCTATTAAAAAAATCTGGTTACAAGAAAAGAAAAGAAAAAAATAGAGCCAAAAAAAAAAAAAAAAGAGGCAGAGACAAAAGAAGTAGATGAGAAAAGAGAGTGTGTTAAAGAAGAAAAAGGAGAAAAAAATAGAGCCCAAAAAAGAAAGAAGGACAGAGAGGAGAGCTAGACGGAAGAAAGAAGTAAACAAAGATGAGAAGAGAGGAGTAGAGGAGAAGAGAAGAGAGAGAAGTAGAGGAGAAGAAGAAGAAAGAACTGACATGGCTTTGTCATTCGTCTTTGCCACTAGGGCTTTGTCGTTGCTCTCATAGTCACTCTTTTTATGTTTAGTCTTGGACTTTTTTATTTGTTTATTCTTTTGAACAAAAGATCCTTCTTTGATATGCTTAGGCTTTCTTATTTGTTTATTAAGTTGCCAAAAGTACCATTTTTGGCTTAAGAGATAGAACAATCATTTAAAAAAAAAAAACAAAAAACAGCGAGGCGCACCTAGACAATTAGGATGAGGTGCAACCGAGGCGTGTGCCTAGTAAACATCAGTTAGCCTGGGATAACAATAGGCGCTAGACCTGCGCCTCGAGCTTAGGTGCACGCCTAGGCGTGCCTTTAACAACACTGGCTAGACTACACTCAAAACTCACAATATATAGCAAATTTTTAATTAATTAGGCAATAAATTGAAAATCCATTAGATTAGGGAACATAATTTAGGGAAAGATACTTCTACCAAGCATATGTATAGAATAAACCCTATAATCAAGCAAAATAACCATAGATGAACACAAGCCCATAACCAAAATAACCATTGATTTGGATATATAATTTCACACCTCCTTATATACATCGATAGAGCTTAGCATATGTAAATATATATGTATATAACCAGACTCTTCGCATGGGTCTTCTAGATTCTTCCTCCCCAAATCAACTCCACCCTCATGCCGCCGGTGGAGCTGGTGGCTCGTTCCCATCATGATCTCCACCATCCAACGGCATCAACAATTTGGTGATGGAGCTTTGTGCCGACGGTGAGCTTTTCAATTGGATCATCGCCAAGGCACACTACTCCGAGCGTGCGCTGATATGTGTTGCCAGATAGCAACTGTTGTGCACAACTACCTGGTCTTCTGGTTGGGAGGTGGTGGTTCGTCAATGGGTGAAGAGAAAGGGAAAGGGTAAGGGTAAGGGTAAGGGGGTTTGGAGAAAGTGGTTGGGTGGTGGGCGAGGAAGGGCTCGTCTGCACGAAGAGAGAGAAAGTCCCTCAATCTCGCCAGCGTATTTGCAATCAACGAGAGCATGATGAGGGCGACTGATAGGTTAGAGGGAGAAAGTAATAAATAAATTAAATAATAAAGGGTAATTGTGATGGCTGTTTTTGGTCATTTTCCACCTTTGATATTTTGTCATAATTAATGAATTAAATAATGAAGGGTAATACAGATATTTCACTGATTTTTTTTTAATGAAAAAACTGACGGGGTGTCATTGTCCAAAAATGAGTTAACTTTCATCTGCTGTCAATTGAGCAAACTTCGGGGGGTGTGTGTGTAATTAACCCTAAATGTTATAGAGAAGAGAACAAAAGTTTACTTTGCAACACTGCTTCATATTAATCAACTTTGATCTTTCTCTCCCCTCAAAAACAGTAAGTCTGCTTCAAACTACTTGATCTCTTATCCAAGTCCTAGTGCTCATTTTGTTTTCCCCAATATCATAAGCTCTTCCACAAAGCTTTAATGACCAGACTGCCCTCAGTATGTTATAACACGATCTTTTCTTATGTAAATTAAAATTCTAATGGGTTGTGTGTTCTCATTAACTTTTTTCATTTCAATGTTTGCGTCTGCTATTGTAATGTGCTAGCACCGATGGTGTTATGCGAATTAAAATTTCTTTTGATTTTTTAGATTTGTGAGGGCTAATGTGCTTCAAAATTATTGCAGAGGGCATGTGGAAGCTTATGTGCTCCAAATGTTTTTCTATTTTATTTTTTATTATCTTTTTATGAGTATTAGGCTTATTCTTTATGCACTTTGTAGAAATCTTAAGATGCACAAATACCATCAAGTATCAGCTTTTTCATTGTGTAGAATCTTATGATTTTTATTTGATTCTATGATCTGCTAGGATCTGATTTTAAAGGCTCCCCATCAGTTCAACGTAGGATCCTGACATCGACGACCTTTTTTTTTTCCTTGGCATACTCTTTTTTAATAGTGACGATGGTATCTGTCATTATTCTGTTTCAATATTTTGTACGGCACCTTGTGTTTTGTGCATGTCTCTCTGTCTCTTCGTCTGTCTTATCTTCATCTGTTTTCTGACTACCTGTTGTTTGATTCACAGAATAATATGGTACAGCTGTTGGAGACAGCTCTAGTTGAGGGAATGGATAAAGAGTCTGATACATCGCTGCCTCATGCCGTGAATACACTTATAGACTCGTTACCGATGTTTTCTATTGAAACTGGTAGTATTGAGTTGCAGAAACACAATACATGCACGCTTCAAGGTACTGCTGGTGTTAACTTAATCAAATCTTTCTATTTCATTGTTTCAGACTAAGATTTTCTAATCCATGTTTTTCATACTTGCTTTGAAAAAGGGGGAAGTTGCTCAATGGAAGAGAAACCAGTGGATCGGCTCCTTTTGACATTAGCTTCTGAATGCATGCAACCTGATCGTACAACTTCACAGATTGGCGGACCCAATTTTCACCAGGATTTCTATAAGTTGATTTCATTATCTCAGCATTGGGCAGTTGTTCATTTGGGATGCATCAAACGTCTCATTTTACTCTGCAAAGAACTATTTGAACTTCCAGATATGTTTGATGATAAAACTGTGGGTACAAATTTTCACAAGGGATTATTTTTCTGTGTGAGGATACTCAAGTTACTCAGTATTCTTACAAAGAGCATTCCATATGTCGAATACGATGTTGAATTGTTGAATGCTGTTGCTTCATTTGTTGGTGTTCTGCCTAGCTTGTTCAGGCCAAAATTTGACTTTGTAAACATTGATGCTACTTCTGAGAGTAGTTTTGAAAGTCCCGTATTGTTGCTGTTGGATGAATTTCTTCAAATTGTCCGGAGTATTTTCTGCAATAGCTTTGTATTTCAAAACATCCAGGCATGTGTAGTAGCTTCTATGTTGGACAACTTGGATACCGTTATATGGAGGTACAACAAGTCTGCTGCTAATCAAAAGCCCCCACTGGCTTACTTTCCCCGGATTGTTATTTACATTCTGAAACTCATCGAGGATGTTAAAAAAGAAACACATCAGGAGTTCGATAAAGAACACATTGGTAGTTTTGATGATTTCCAGAAAAGTCCCCCTTCATTCCATGCTTGTTTTGAGAAAGTCTCTTTGCTAAAGAAGCACAGAAGTGAGGAACTATTGAAAATAATATTCTCTTCATCAAATCAGTGGGTGGACAATCTGATACATCTTGTTCATTTTCTTCATTCTGAGGGCGTGAAATTAAAGCCAAAATTGGAGAGATCATTTTCCTGCGGTACAAAAGTGGTCAGTACCTCTGAACCAGAAAGTGCGGTTTGCCATGAAGAAGAAGCACTCTTTGGAGACCTTTTCTCTGAGGGTGGTCGCTCAGTAGGATCTGCAGATGGAAATGATCAACCTACTGTTGCAGTCAATTCTGTCTCCAACTTCTGTAATATGCCAATTCAAGCTGCCACGGAACTGTTCAGTTTTCTAAAATTGTGTGTGTTTAGTCCTGAATGGAATCCTTCTATATACGAGGATGGTTGCAAAAAGCTTAGTAGTTGCCATATTGATATTCTGCTTTCAATTCTCAACTGTCAGGCTTGCTGTTCTGAAGATAGGACTTTTGATAGTGGTGTTGCTTTACAAGAACAGAGGAAGATTGGGTATACCTATGAACTCTGCTTTGAAATTTTGAACAACCTTCTCTCACTCCATGCTTTATCTGATTCACTTGAAGAGTACCTTGTTGAGCAAATCCTGAATATTGACAATGGTGTTTTTGTTTACAATGACCAGACCCTAAGCTTGCTAGCTCATACTCTTATCTGTAGGGTTGGTTTGGCGGGTAGTCAACTGAGAACCAAAATTTACAAGGTATTTGTGGATTTCATCTCCGAGAAGGCAAAAAGAGTCTGTTCAAGCTATTGTAGCCTCAAGGAACTTCTAGAGACTCTTCCATCTGTGTTTCACATTGATATTCTTCTTATGGCATTTCATTTGTCCTCCGAAAATGAAAAGGCAGCATTGGCAAACTTCATATTTTCTTCCCTTAGAACAATTGATTCTCCTGCTGCTAGTTTTGATAGTACACAACTGTCATGCTGGGCTTTATTAGTCTCAAGGTTGGTTTTAGTGTTCCGTCATATGATATTTTACCCCCATGCTTGTCCTTCATCATTGCTTCTGGAGTTGAAATCCAAGTTGAGGGAGGCCCCACTTACTCGATCATGTCCTCCTAGTAATGTAAATGATCATGTGTCATCTTGGGTATCAATTGCCGTGGAGAATGTGATGGGTTCATGTATCAAAGAAGGGTCTGTCAGTAGTAGCTTGCTTAAACAACTGATTGATATTGCGCCCCTCCCTGCTTCAATATGCAGAAATGACCTGGCAATTGAAAGGTTTAATCTGAAGTGGGGCGATGTATGTGGCTCTTTTTCATGTATTCTGGGGTTTTGGAGGGGCAAAAGAGCTGCAATGGTGGAGGACCTTATTCTTGAAAGATATATATTTGTGCTATGTTGGGATGTTCCTATCACCGGCTCTACATCGGAAAATTTGCTTCCCTTTTGGTGTGGCCTGCAGACCATTGACACCTCAAATATGGAGCATTTCTTCTACTTTAGCCATTCAGTTCTAGGCCACTGTGGTATTATTGGTGAGGGCATTAACTTTCCACAGGTGGTGTTTAGTGTGCTACAACAGTTGCATTCTGTGCAAACATCAGGGGACATTGGGGAATTAGGCTGGGACTTTTTGAGGAATGATTCATGGCTGTCTCTGCTACTGTCATTACTTAATGCTGGCATCTGGGAATATTGCAGAAAGAATGCAATTAGTTCGGTTGGTCCAATCTGGTCAGAGCACACATCTAGTGACAATGAGTTTCTTAGTCTTGCCGATGGCCTGGTTTCCAGTGTCTTTGGTGCGAATCAAGTAGTACTGCTGGTGAGGATATTGTCTTCTTTGTTGAGCAGATGCTTACAGGTTCATGAGAAAGCTTTCCTTGCAGCCTTTGATAATGGCCAGTACTCTTCTGACGGGTTTTCGCCTCTGTTACTTTTAAAACATATTGGATTTGACAAATGCATCCAAAATGAGCTCCTTGACAAGGGTGGATTCAGTCCTTGCCCGCTGGAGTCTGTTTATGACATTTTGTTGAAGTTGGATGGAACTGTCGACAGAATGGCTTCGGGAATCCGATCTAAGGTCTTCTGGGAAGTTTTGTTGCATGGTTTTCCCTCTCATCCTCACACACCCAGTGGAATTCTTGTTTCTTGTATTCTTAGCATTAGGGGAATCATTTGCTTTTTAGATGGGCTGCTCAAGATCAAAGATGCTAAAGAAATTATCTCCAGGGAGACTGAGGTACTTCGACAGATTCTTGATTCAGTCATGGTGGTCAAGTCTGATAGGATTTTTGAGAGCCTTCATGGAAAATGTGAATCTGTTTATCACAGCTTGAGTGCAGGCTTGGAATGGCCTGATTGCAGCAATTTGTTTATCCTGAAGAACATGGAAGAATTTTTAAAGAATATCAACGCTAGAGAAGTCATGGATGGCAGAATTCATGAATTGATAATTACCAAGGCTATTGATATCATGGATAGCTTAAGGAAGGAACCTTCAAGTGCTGTCATTGTCAAAATATTCCTCTCTGTGGAAGACATGTCTGAACAGATCAAGGTTCTGTATGGCTCACAATGCGGTGATTTACTGGTTCTGATCGATTCACTGGATAAATGTAACTCTGAATCTGTTGACATAAAGGTTCTTAACTTCTTCGTTGATCTCTTATCCGGAGAAATGTGTTCTATTATTAAACAAAAAATACAGGAGAAATTCCTTACCATGAATTTGCTTTGCCTGTCAAAATGGTTGGAAAAGCGGCTGTTAGGTTCCATGATTGAAGCTTCAGGTGGGATCACCAGTGCTAAGGGCAGTTCGGTTACTCTGAAAGAGTCAACCATGAATTTTATTCTGAGCCTTGTATCCCCGTGTTCTGAATTTCTTTCTAAAGAAGTACACAGTCACTTGTTTGAAGCTATGCTGGTTTCACTTGATAATGCATTTATGCTATTTGATAATCAGACGGCAAAGTCCTTCTTCAGTTTCGTTGTTCAGCTTTTAAAGGGGGAGGCTTCAATGAAACAACTTCTGCAACGGACTGTGATGCTGATGGAGAAGCTGGCTGGTGATGAACATATGCTTCAAGGGCTGAAGTTTCTGTTTGGCTTTCTTGCTTCTGTTTTAAATGATTGTGGGTCTACGAAGCATACCACTGAGAAATCTACTGGGAAGTCTTTGTCTAGCAATAGTTCTGGGGTGGGAACTCTTTCTTCTAGATCTCTATGTTCGAGAAAAAATTCTGCAACTTTGGTTCTTTCTGCTAATCAAGAAGGCGGGTCCACGTCTCTTGAATGTGATGCAACTTCTGTAGATGAAGATGAGGATGATGGAACTTCTGATGGTGATGTGGGTAGCATGGATAAGGATGATGAAGAGGATTCTAATAGTGAAAGGGCTCTTGCTTCTAAAGTTTGCACATTTACATCCAGTGGCAGCAATTTTATGGAACAACACTGGTATTTTTGTTACACATGCGATTTGACTGTATCAAAAGGCTGTTGTTCTGTGTGTGCAAAAGTTTGTCATCGTGGTCATCGTGTTGTGTACTCCCGCTCAAGTCGCTTCTTTTGTGACTGTGGAGCTGGTGGGGTTAGAGGTAGCAATTGCCAATGCTTGAAGCCTCGAAAATTCTCTGGAAATAGCAGTGCACCTGTTCGTAGTGCTAGTAACTTCCAGTCCCTTTTGCCCTTCACTGAGGAGGGAGATCAGCTGCCTGATAGTGATTCAGATATTGATGAAGACGGTTCCGTAGACCCAGATAACTCTATCAGGTTATCTATTCCAATAGAGGTTCAAGATGGTATGCCATTGTTACTTGAAGAACTTGACGTTGAAGGAAGGGTACTTAAACTTTGCTCTTCGTTGTTGCCTTCTATAACTAGCAGAAGGGATTCTAACCTTTCAAAAGATAAGAAAGTTATACTGGGTGAAGATAAACTGCTTTCTTACAGTGTTGATCTTCTGCAGTTGAAGAAGGCATATAAAAGTGGGTCATTAGATCTGAAAATAAAGGCTGATTATTCAAATGCCAAGGACCTTAAGGCCCATTTAGCCAGTGGTTCTCTTGTTAAATCCTTACTCAGTGTCAGTGTCCGAGGTCGACTTGCTGTTGGAGAAGGTGACAGAGTAGCTATATTTGATGTTGGGCAGCTGATTGGCCAGGCCACCATTGCACCTGTGACAGCAGACAAGGCTAATGTGAAGCCTCTCTCTAAGAATGTTGTTCGTTTTGAAATTGTACATCTTGTCTTCAACCCAGTGGTAGAGAATTATCTTGCTGTAGCGGGCTATGAAGATTGCCAGGTCCTTACTGTAAGTCATCGTGGTGAGGTTACTGATCGTCTAGCCATTGAACTTGCTTTGCAAGGTGCCTATATCAGACGTGTGGATTGGGTTCCAGGTTCTCAGGTTCAGCTAATGGTGGTTACCAACAGGTTTGTCAAAATATATGATCTATCTCAGGACAACATTAGTCCCATGCATTACTTCACATTGCCGGATGACACGATTGTGGATGCAACACTTATTGTGGCTTCCCAGGGAAGGGTTTTTCTTATTGTCCTTTCAGAACTTGGATGCTTATTCAGGCTTGAACTGTCGATGAAAGGAAATGTTGGGGCCAAACCATTAAAGGAAGTAATTCAGATTCAGGATAGAGATGTGCAAGTGAGGGGCTTATCTTTATACTTCTCGTCGACTTATAAGCTGCTCTTCCTGTCCTATCAAGATGGAACCACCTTAGTTGGCCAGCTAAATCCTGATGCAACATTTCTAACTGAAATATCCTCCGTGTTCGAGGATGAGCAAGATGGTAAGCTGCGACCGGCTGGATTGCATCGTTGGAGAGAGTTGTTGATTGGCAGTGGGTTATTTGTTTGCTTCTCTAGTGTGAAATCAAATGCTGCACTTGCTGTTTCCATGGGGGAGCATGAATTATTTGCACAGAACTTGCGGCATGCAGGGGGTTCAACCTTGCCGTTGGTTGGGATAACTGCTTTCAAGCCATTATCCAAAGACAAAATTCACTGTCTTGTTTTACATGATGATGGAAGCCTTCAGATATACTCACACGTTCCTGTTGGGGTAGATGCTGGCACAAGTGTGATGTCAGAAAAAGTTAAGAAATTGGGTTTTGGTATTCTTAAGAACAAAACTTATGCTGGTTTAAACCCAGAATTCCCACTTGATTTTTTTGAAAAAACAGTATGCATCACAGCAGAAGTGAAACTGAGTGGTGATGTCATCAGGAATGGTGATTCTGAAGGGGCTAAACAAAGCTTGGCATCTGAAGATGGATTTCTAGAGAGTCCCAGCCCTGCAGGATTTAAGGTATTATTGTCTGGTTTAGCTTGCCATATTGTGTTATTCTGATCTTCGCTCTTTTCACCTACAAGTCTGTTTAATTTCTGTGGTTTATGTTGTTATGTTTTTCTTCAGTAACAACAGTTTCTTTCACTGCATATTTGTGGTGGAAGTTGGAACCAGCATCAGCAATATTGTAATTCTTAGTGGAACCAGCATCAGCAAGATTGTAATGCTTAGTCATTACCATTTTCATATGAATTGTTTCTAATTCCATTTATAGATGATAGTACTAGAGTTTTGATATTCAAATGGTCTTGATAAAGACTCGCATGTCAATAATGTATTCAAGATTGTTTTAGTTTAGTCGTTGATCATAAACCTAAAAATTAGTAGTATGGAAATTGAGAATAATGCTGATTTAGACATTGCATCGTTAAACACTAAGGTTGAGCGAATGAAACATTTTTACTATTTATTTATATTTATCATATTTGTTGTGCAAGTAACTTCTGTTCGAGTTATGTGATTTTTTCAGTTAAATATTTTATGTTACTTCATTGATGATTGAACAAATATTTGTAGTGTCTGTTGATATTGGGTTAAAGAACAATGATGAATACTTTAATAACGATGAGAGTACCAATAAGTAGAGACCTAAGTGGAGAATTGAGCTGTCACACAAGGACCTCACTTTGAGGAGTGAGGAAGAGGTGGTGGGGCTAAGCTTTGGTAATGTCTTTTGAGCCAGAACACTTGGTATTAGTTTCGCTCTTCTCTCTTCTAACTACCATTGTTCAGGTTATTCACTCTGTTTATACTAATAGAAAGAGTCTAAGGACCCTTGGTCCAAAGAATTATCAGACATTTTCTTGCCTATTTATTTTTTATTTTTGCAAATCTCAGAGGTTATGATTATGGGTGTTCTCATTAAATGCGGGGACTCCTAAGTTACTCCACGCATCTGCCTCTTTAGAGATCACCTCCACTTCCTTTGTGGCAGGCCAAGAGAGACTGCAGTGGGAGTCTCTCGACTTCCCTGAGTGCTCAGCCGCCTGGCTGATAGGCTTCTCATTCCATTGGGGGAATAATAGTGCAGGGTCATGCCCCAAATGGACTCCGGGGCACATTCCATGACAAATTTTCCCACAGTTGGGCCCTTTGGAGCTTCAATGCTTCCTCGAGGTTTATTTGTAAAGAGGAGCTACTCAAGGGTCTTCGACTCTTCCCTGGGGTTTATCTGCAAAGGAGCTTCCCGAGGGCCTTCATTATTCCCTCAAGATTTATCCAGAGAGAGGAACTAGTATTTATTTAGTCGGTTTTGAGGCTTATGATTTGTTCAGAGGAAGTCATCAATTATTTTAATGAGCATCCTCTGGAGGGCTTAGGGGATTCCCTTGAGGCTTTATCTATTGCCGTGGCTGCACCAGTAATCTCATTTGCAGGAGGAGTGATCGCTAGCTTCAAGTTATTGACTAGAGGATTCTTTAGCCACGGGGTCACATGAAAGATTGCCTGCAGAGCGGGACTTAGTGTGATATATATATATATATATATATATTTGTGTGTGTGTGTAGATATAAATATAGAAATTAAAAATGTTTATTGGTGAGTCATCGGACACATGTCGAAATGCACGCCATGTGGCGATCTTATGGCACAAGGTCATAGCACTGGGTACCTACAGTCTTCCCTTCCTTTTTGGGTGAGTATAATTTTATTAATGAATGAGAAGAAGATTTGGCAATAGATTTGTACAGACACAAGTATGAACGTGAAATAGCACCGGCTTAATGTTACTTTGTCTGCAAATAAATCATGTGGTTGTTGTACCCATGTTTGGATCATCCTCAGTTGTGGAGAGGTTCTAAGAATCATCTTCCTTCCAGCCTTTGATATTGTTTTGATTCTGTCTTGTAAATACATTTATTTGATGAATTACAAGTAGCTACTTCAACTATGGCATAGAACTTCTCCTTGCTTGCTTGTTTCTTTTTTGGTTTGTTTTTCTTGCATTTAAATTCTGATTTTAACTTAGCTTAGTTCATTAGTACTCTTTGTTCCTCATGACTGTTTTCTATTTAAATTCTGAAACCTTTGATTTTTCTGAAATGTTTAAATATTTTTCTTAGTTTAATATTGTTTGTCTTTCTTTCTCAGATAACTGTTTCCAACTCAAATCCTGACATAGTCATGGTTGGTATTCGTGTGCACGTGGGTAATACATCGGCAACCCATATACCCTCCGAAATCACTATTTTTCAGAGAGTGATAAAATTAGATGAGGGCATGCGGTCTTGGTATGATATTCCATTTACTGTGGCTGAATCACTTCTTGCTGACGAAGAATTTACGATCTCTGTTGGGCCAACATTCAATGGCTCTGCATTACCCAGAATTGACTCATTGGAGGTTTATGGCCGAGCAAAGGATGAATTTGGTTGGAAAGAGAAGATGGATGATGTTTTGGATATGGAAGCTCGTGTTCTTGGTTGTAATTCTTGGGTTGCAGGATCTGGGAAAAAATTCCGTACTACACAATCTGCTCCTATTCAGGAGCAGGTGGTAGCAGATGGCCTGAAACTTCTATCTAGGTTTTATTCGTTATGTAGGCCAAAAGAATGTTCAAAAGCTGAGGAAGTAAGACTGGAGCTGAGCAAACTCAAGTGCAAACAATTGCTAGAAACAATATTTGAAACTGACAAGGAACCCTTGTTGCAAGCCGCTGCTTGTCGTGTCTTGCAGGCTGTGTTTCCCAAAAGGGAGATGTATTACCAAGTAATTACTTAATGTCAGACTTTCATATGAATTACCACTAGTTTCTTTCTTTATTTTAGGCTTTGTTATTTATGTATCTGTTTGTACACAAGCTTGTTGAATCACTAACTGTAACTTTTTTGCTTAGGTCAAGGACACCATGCGTCTGCTTGGTGTGATGAAATCGACCACCATTCTCTCTTCAAGACTGGGTGTTGGTGTTGCAGCAGGTTGGATTATTGAAGAGTTTACAGCCCAGATGCGTGCAGTTTCTAAGATTGCACTGCACCGCCGGTCAAACTTAGCTACTTTCCTGGAGACGAATGGTATTTTGAATATTTTTTCACATTTTAATTTTTGTTGCGGGTATGCTTTCTATGGTGCTTATGTTGGATTTAGCTGCACAAATCAGAATTTTATAGGTTTAAATTTTGAGTATTACTACTTGAAGCTTAAAATGGGATTTCCTTTTCCTTAATTTTATCAAAGGGTTAGAAAATGCTGTTTCAGTGTTTGGGCTGCTGTTATCCTGATTGGTTGCTTGGGGGCGTGGTTGGCAAGTGTAACCCTTTCCTCCTTTGGTGGTCCCAGTTGTACATATAGGTTCAGGAGCTGCTTTTTTCTGCTCTTCCCCTCTTTGTATTTGTAGTAAAATAAAGTTTGTCCAGAATTGACGCAATGGTAAAGTTACTCCATTCTGACCTGGAGGTCACAGGTTTGAAATAAGGAAACAGCCTCTCCGCATGCGGAGGTAAGGCTGCGTACATCTAACCCTCTCTAGACCATGCAATGGCGGGACCTTTTAATGTTTTTAATCAGAAGGATCAATTGACACTTTATTCTGCTTTATTTTAAGATTGTTTTTCTTTCTATTTTTATATATATTCTGTTGTGGTCAACACGGTAACATGGTATCAAAAATTTTTGCAAAGTCATGCATACACAAATAGCCCCTTGAAACTCCTAATGAGGTCGTTCGTGGATGTCGCGAGGTTGCCCCGTCTGTTTCAAGGCGGATCTGTTAGATCTGCAAACACTTATCGAGGGCATTCGTTTTTTCTGGATAATGATTCGGTGGAAAGAAGAAGAGAGGACCTTCGATCGTGTTTGGTAGGAAAGTTCGACAAGGATGTGGGTGATTGGGCTCAAATCGCGGCTTGGGCTTCTCGTGCTTGGAAGGTTTCTCCCGGGGTTGTTATCTCACCTCTACCGGATTCGTTGTTGCTTTTTCATTTTCCTTCTCCAAAGGAGGCGTCTCGTGTGCTTAAAAAAGGTCGTCATGTTTGGGGGACGGCCACACTTCGATTGGAATCTTGGTGTTTTAGGGTGGGGTGTTCCTAGGTATTGAAGGGTAAGGGTCTGAAGTTTGTGACGTTGTACGGTCTCCCGCTCCATCTTTGGAGTCATGCCCTGTTTGTTATGGTCGGCGATCTATGCGGTGGTTTCATTTGGGTGGATGCCGATGAAACAATTGACGCTGAAAGGGTTCGCATTACAGTGTCCGACGGCAAGGTTTGTCCTCCTTTTGTTTTCATCCACGATGATCGTCTCTGCTACAAAGTGAAGGTGTGGGAAGAGAAGCCTCTTGAGCTTGTTCCGACAACGGATAGCTTGGAAGGAGGTGATGGTTCGCACCTGCTAAAGGAGAAAGAATGGTTAAGGTGGGAATCGTTGGGGAAGAAAGGTTTGGCTGAGTTTCAGAGATGGGAGGAATGGAGGGACGATTTATGGAAGCAAAACTCGGACTGTTTTAGGAGGTTTTTCTCTCTTAGAAGGAAAGAAGGCTTATCGGATGGAACTGGTGTTCGAAGGCAAGAGAGATCCCGGGAAAGGCATAAGGAGGGTGGTCTCATCGGTCTTGGCCGGCGGGCGTTCATGCAGATGTGGAGAAAGGAGCGTCGTTATGATGTTTCTCACGTCAATCAAGCGCGTGGGAGGGTGAGTGATGAAGGCCTTACACGTGGTTGGCGCAGAAGACTTGGCCGTTCAATGTGGATGACAGCTGCATCCACTTTTGTTTCAAAGTCTTGGGCTACGAATAAAAGAAAGGCCGAATTTGGGGTTAAGTCGGTGGCTGGGCCTAATTTTGGGCTGAGGGATAAAGTGCCATCTACTGGGCCGGATGAAGGTAGTGCGGCCCAAACTTTGGATGTTGTTTGTGGTGGACAAGGATCCGTTGTTGTGGGTTGTGAATTGAAAGAAAGGACCGGATTCTACTATTGTTTCTTCTGGGCCAGTGTTGGGCAACCGGTTTGGGCCTTTAAGTGATGGTATTGATATCATTGAAGTCCAGTCGAACAGAGAGTTTCCTGAAGGCTCTAGAAGAAGTAGACGTGCTAAGGGGCAGGTGCAGGGCCATCGTATGAAGAAGAAAGTGATATTTCCCCTTGTGCGCAAAAAATGGTCTCGAAAGGAAAAGCAGAAGTGGATTCCGGCTTCGCAGTTCGCCGCTGGATCGGGTATGTCCTTTGCTTCGCCTAATCACTCTCTCTCTCTCCCTTCTTCTTCCACTTTTCATCCTTACGGGGTGTCTCGAAGGAGTTTGGTGCCGAAAAAGGGAGTTGTGTCTTCTGTGTCACAATGTTTATCTCCGGTTTTTGAGAAGGAGCCGGTGCTTGGTTTTGAGAAAAGACATGGTGACGATGGTGATTTTGAGGTGGGTTCCACTCGGTTGTGTGATGTTAACAGTGATGGATTTACTGTGTGTGTGGGTCGGGATGTGAAGATATGGATTGATGATGTTTCAGCAGCTGTGCTCTTGAATGAATTGAGAACTCATCTTGTGTCGAAGGGCCCTGTCACTAAACGGAATGAACGTTTGGCCGAGGAGGTGTTTGGAACTCCTCTTTCTTGTTGCTCTCCATCTCTGTCTTTTGTTGAGTTTGGGGAGGATGGGTTGTGTTCCTCTGTTCATGGGGATGCGGGAATGGTTGTGTGGAACGGATGTGAGTCCGATGTTGACTTGCTTACACCTTTGGCAGTTGTTAGACCAGAAGAGAATTTTGCGGAAGGAAGGGGATTTGATGTAGAGTTGGCTGATTCGGAGAATGATTGGAGGAAAGAAAATGGTGTCGAGATAGGCTCTCTTTTGGGTGTGTCATTTGAGGGTCGGATGGAGGAGGCGACTAATCTATTCCTAGATGTTCTTAATGCTCAGTTTGCTGATAGAATGGATTGTAGGGGGAGTGCTCCAGTGGTGAGCGAGGAGAGAGGGGTTCCAAGTCCCTCGACTGTTGTTACTTATGAAAGGAGGAGGAGGGGGGCTAGGGAGAGGGCCAGTGGGAGGAGGGGTGAGACGGTTAATTCTACTGTTTCCCTATGAAGCTCCAAATTCTCTCATGGAATGTCCGGGGTCTTAATGACCTGGTTAGAAGGAAAGTGGTGAAATCGGTGATTCAGAAAGCGGGTGGTCATCTTGTATGTCTTCAAGAAACAAAGATTGCTTCCATGAAGGAAGTGATTGTTCGAAGTTTGTGGGGTGGGAGATTCGTGGAGTGGTGTGTGTTGGATGCGGTTGGCTCTTCTGGTGGTATCCTGATTATGTGGGATGTCTGTTGGATCTCTTTGCTGGATTCTCAGGCTGAGCGGTTCTCGGTTTCCTGTCTTCTATCCATGGTGGAGGATGGCTTTCGGTGGGTTTTTTCTGGAGTTTATGGGCCTACGGAGGATAATGAGTGCCTTTTGTTTTTGGAGGAGCTGGGGGAGATTCGTAGGCAATGGTCGTTGCCTTGGTGTATCGGGGGGGATTTCAACGTTGTTCGTTCCCCTTTTGAGAGATCGACAGGGGGCAGATGGACAGCTGATATGGAGGCTTTCTCACAGTTCATTGATGCTTGTTGCTTGCTTGATTTGCCTTTGGTGGGTGGGCCTTTCACTTGGTCCAGTGGTCGTTCTCCTCCCTCACTTTCTCGTCTTGATAGATTTTTGGTGTCGAGTGATTGGGAGGTGAAGTTTTCTGATGTTGTTCAGACCATTTTGGCTCGTCCTTTGTCTGATCATGTTTCGTTGCTGTTGGACTGTGGCGGGCTGCGTAGCAGAAGATCCCCATTTAGATTTGAGAATATGTGGCTTCGGGCTGAAGGTTTCTTGAAGCGAGTTCGATCCTGGTGGGCGGGGTATGGAGTGGTTGGCACTCCGAGTCATACTTTGGCAGGCAAGTTGCGCTTTTTGAAGAATGATCTTAAAGTCTGGAACAAAGAGGTGTTTGGTAACTTAGTCTGGAGAGAGAATCGGGTTCTCTCTGAGATAGCTGACATTGATAAGATGGAGAATCAGGGTCTTTTGACGGGTCCTTTGAGACTTAGGAGGGTGGAGTGTCAAGTAGAGTTTGTTGAGATTGCTGTTATGGAGGAGATTTCATGGAGACAGAAATCTAGAGCTTTGTGGCTTAAAAAGGGTGACAATAACACTAAATTCTTTCATAGACTTGCTAATGCTCACAGAAGGGGCAACCACATTGGGAGGATTAGGGTGGATGGGGTGGTGATTAATAAAGAGGAGGAGATTAGTAAGAGCTTTTTCCGAGTACTTTTCGTCTTTGTTCACTGAGTCAGCTGATTGGCGTCCTTTGCTTGATGGGCTTCATTTTGACTCTATTTCGGGAGAGGAGGGCTCTGTTTTGGAAGAGCCTTTTTCAGAAGAGGAAGTTCTCTCTACTCTGAAGAGCTGTAATGGGGATAAAACTCCTGGTCCGGATGGTTTTACTATGAGGTTCCTTTTGGAGTGTTGGGAGGTGGTTCGTGAAGGTGATGGGTTCTTTTCATGCCTTCCATGCACAGGGTTCCTTTGAGAAAAGTTTGAATGCAACTTTTATTGTTCTTATTCCGAAGAAGGGAGAGGCAATGGATGTTAGAGACTTCCACCGTATTAGTTTGGTGGGATGTTTTTACAAGTTGATTGCGAAAGTCTTGGCCTCTAGGTTAAAGAAGGTGATGGATGGTGTCATTTCTGACTCTCAGAATGCTTTTGTGGGAGGTCGGCAGATCCTGGATTATGTTCTTATTGCCAGTGAATGTGTTGATTCCCGTTTGAGCAGCGATGTTCCGGGTGTTCTTTGTAAGCTTGATATTGAAAAGGCATACGATCATGTGAGTTGGAGTTTCCTTCTCTACTTGTTAGAGAGGATGGGATTCGGTGGGCGTTGGAGGAGATGGATTCTTTTTTGCATCTCTAGCGCTCGTTTCTCTGTCCTTGTGAATGGAGTGCCGTCGGGTTTCTTCTCTAGCTCGAGGGGTTTGAGATAAGGGGATCTGCTTTCCCCTTTCCTGTTCCTTTTTGTGATGGAGGCTCTTAGCAGATTGCTAAAGAGGGCTGTGGAACTGGGTTTTTTGAGTGGCTTTCGGGTGGGCAGGAATGTTGCTAGTCAATTGGAGGTTTCTCATTTGATGTTTGCAGATGACACTATTGTGTTTTGTGATGCGGATGAGTCCCGGTTGAGGTATTTGAGATGCGCTCTGATCTGGTTTCAAGTTGTTTCTGGCCTTGAGGTTAATGTTGGTAAGAGTATTCTTGTGCCTGTTGGGGATGTTCCGGAGATTGAGGTGTTTGCTCACATCCTTGGCTGTTGCACTGGCTCTTTTCCCATTTCTTATTTAGGATTGCCTTTGGGTGCTCCGTCGAGATGTGTGGGGAGCTGGGATCCGGTTGTGGACAGAGTCGAGAGGAGGTTGGCGGGTTGGAAAAAGCAGTACTTGTCCAAGGGGGGTCGGGTTACCCTGATTAAGAGCACCCTTTCTAGCCTGCCTACATACTTCTTCTCTCTGTTTCAGATTCCTTCTTCAGTGGCTGAGTGAATTGAAAGATTGCAGTGCAACTACCTTTAGGGGGGGAAAGGTGAAGAGTTCAAATTTCACTTGGTTCGATGGGAACAAGTGTGCCGTCCAATTCGGTTTGGAGGCTTAGGGTTTCGGAGGTTGTTACCTTTTAATAAGGCTCTTCTTGGTAAATGGCTCTGGAGGTTTGGGATCGAGAGGCATTGGTTATGGAGGAAAGTTATTGCTTGCAAATTTGGGGAAAGTCGTGGTGGGTGGTGCTCCCTGGAAATGCGTGGTCCAAGGGGAGTGGGAGTTTGGCATTGTATTCGGAGGGGTTGGGATGATTTCTGCAAGCATGTTCGTTTTCGTATTGAAGATGGAAGGAGGATCAGTTTTTGGTTGGATCTCTGGTGTGGGGATCTCCCTCTTGCTCTCGCGTTCCCACGGCTCTACAGGATTGCTTCTCATCGACAGGCCATGGTTGTCGACTGTTATCATCTTGATAACGGGAGACTGTCTTAGGATGTTCGTTTCAGGAGGCATTTTCAGGATTGGGAGATCGAGGATGTTTCTTGTTTTCTGGAGTTGTTGTATAGCCAGGTGTTTTCTATTGGGGGATCAGATCGGTGGTTCTGGATTCCTACCTCGCATGGCCGTTTTGAGGTTAGGTCCTTTTTCAGATGCCTTTCGTTTGGTCATGGAGATCCTTTCCCTTGGAAGTCTATTTGGCGGTCCAAGGCTCCCCGCAAGGTCGCCTTTTTTGCTTGGACCTCTGTTCTGGGTAAGATTTTAACTCAGGATAATCTGAGGAGGAGGAATCAGGTGGTGGTCAATCACTGTTACATGTGCTTGTGTCATGAAGAGAATGTTGATCACCTCCTTTTGCATTGCAGCATGGCCAGAGATTGTTGGGATTTGATGCTTCGTTTATTTGGGGTTCATTGGGCTATGCCTTTCTTCTCTAGAGGGTTGATTGAGGCTTGGAGAGGCGTCTCTGTTGGGGCTGGCATTAGGGATGCTTGGAGGGCTACGCCGCTCTGTATCTGGTGGTGTATTTCTTGAGAGAAATATGAGATATTTTGACGGGAAAAAGAAGCCTGTTTCTATGCTTAAGTTCTCTATTATTTCTACTCTTTTTTGTTGGGTTTCAGGGAGAGATTATAGATCTGTGGAGGAAATTATTGTTTTTTTGGCCTCTCTGAAGGTCTAAGGCGCCCTCTGGCCCTTGTGTTCCTTTTGTTTCTTTGGGTTTCACTCCCCTTTTTGAGCGTTTTTAATAAAATCTTACTTATCAAAAAAAATATATGTATATATTCTGTTGTGTGTTTAATATCCTTATTATCACCTGATGTAGGTTCTGAAGTGGTAGACGGGCTTATGCAAGTTTTATGGCGAATTTTGGACATAGAGCAGCCTGACACACAAACTATGAACAACATTGTAGTATCATCTGTCGAACTCATTTATTGTTATGCCGAGTGTCTTGCTTTGCATGGAAATGATGCAGGGGAGTGCTCTGTTGCCCCTGCTGTTTCGTTATTCAAGAAGCTTCTGTTTTCTTCCAATGAGGCTATTCAGACTTCTAGCAGGTAGTAATGTCTCTTTTAGATGTACTTTCTTATCTTTGTCTCTCAGGTGTTTACCCTCTCTCTCTCTATCCAGCTTGGCTATATCATCAAGATTGCTTCAGGTTCCATTTCCAAAGCAAACCATGTTAGGTACAGATGATGTAATGGAGAGCGCAGTATCTGCTCCTGTGCCTTCTGATATTACAACCTCAGCTTGTGGGAATGCTCAGGTCATGGTTGAAGAAGACTCTATTACTTCATCTGTTCAGTACTGTTGTGATGGTTGCTCCACTGTTCCTATACTTAGGCAGAGATGGCATTGTACTGTTTGCCCTGATTTTGATTTATGTGAGGCATGTTATGAAGTACTAGATACAGATAGGCTTCCTCCACCACATTCCAGAGACCATCCGATGTTAGCAATTCCTATTGAAGTAGAAACATTAAGTGGGGATGGCAACGAAATTCACTTATCTACAGATGATTTGAGTGATTCGAACTTGTTGCCAGTAATTGCAGATGTCAGCTTGCAGAATCCTGCTCCATCAATTCATGTGTTGGAACCCAATGAATCTGAAGAGTTTTCTGCTTCACTGATAGAACCTGTCACAATTTCAGCATCAAAAAGGGCTTTAAATTCTTTACTTCTCTCTGAGCTCCTTGAACAACTGAAAGGATGGATGGAGATCACATCTGGGCTTCAGGCTATCCCTGTTATGCAGCTTTTCTACAGATTGTCATCTGCTGTGGGTGGGCCTTTTGTGGACAGCTCAAAACCAGCAAGCTTAGATCTGGAGAAACTAATAAAATGGTTTTTGGATGAGATGAATCTCAACAAACCATTTGCAGCGAAAAACCGTTCTAGTTTTGGAGAAGTCACCATCCTTGTTTTCATGTTTTTCACCCTGATGCTACGAAACTGGCACCAACCTGGCAGTGATGGTTCTATTCCAAAATTAAGTAAAACAACAGATTCACATGACAAAAGCACAATCCAGATTCCGCCTTCCCCCTCAGTTTCTGGCACATCTTCCTTCGATGATCAAGAGAAAACTGACTTTGCTTCCCAGCTGCTTCGAGCTTGTGGTTCTCTTAGGCAGCAAGTTTTTGTTTATTATCTAATGGATATTCTGCAGCAGCTGGTGCATGTTTTGAAATCCACCTCTGTTAACTTTGACACTGCACACGGATTGAGCCCTGGTTCGGGATGCGGGGCTTTGCTAACAGTCAGAAGAGAACTACCAGCAGGTAATTTCTCTCCATTCTTTTCGGATTCATATGCCAAATCCCATCACACCGACGTATTTGGGGACTACCATAGGCTCTTGGTAGAAAATGCTTTCCGATTGCTTTACAGTCTGGTTCGACCAGAAAAGCATGACAAGGGTGGGGAGAAGGAGAAGATTTACAAAACTCCTTTTGGTAAGGAACTGAAGTTAGATGGATATAATGATGTTTTCTGCAGTTACATCAACAATCCTCATACAACTTCTATAAGAAGGTATGCAAGGAGGCTTTTTCTGCATTTGTGTGGTAGCAAATCTCATTATTATAGTGTTCGAGATTCGTGGCAGTTCTCAAGTGAAGTTAAGAAACTTTACAAACACGTAAGTAAATGTGGTGGCTTCCAAAATACTGTCCCATATGAGAGGAGTGTTAAGATCGTGAAATGCCTGACTGCTATTGCTGAAGTTGCTGCTGCACGACCTCGAAACTGGCAGAAGTATTGCTTGAGGCACGGGGATGTTTTACCCTTTCTTATGGATGGAGTTTTCTATTTTGGGGAAGAGTCCGTCATTCAGACTCTTAAACTTCTAAATTTGGCCTTCTATACTGGAAAGGACTCTAGCCACTCTTTGCAGAAAGCTGAAGCAGTGGATGCTTCGAATAAATCAGGAACACTGGATTCGAAGAAGAAAAAGAAAGGAGAAGATGGAACTGAATCTGGTTTGGAGAAGTCTTACTTGGATATGGAGTCCGTGGTACACTTCTTCAGTGCCAAGGGATGTGATGTCCTGAGGCAATTCATCGATTGTTTTTTACTGGAATGGAATTCAAGCTCTGTGCGCACGGAAGCGAAGTGTGTTCTTTATGGTGTATGGCATCATGGAAAGCAGTCATTTAAGGAAACTGTGTTGGTGACTCTCTTGCAGAAAGTGAAATGCCTGCCAATGTATGGTCAGAATATCATTGAGTATACAGAACTTGTGACCTGCTTGTTGGGGAAGATACCTGACAATATATCGAAGCAACAGAGCTCTGAAATTGTGGACCGCTGCTTGACTTCTGATGTCATTAGGTGCATCTTCGAGACGCTTCACTCACAAAATGAGCTTTTAGCAAATCATCCTAATTCCCGTATATATAACACTTTGAGCGGGTTGGTGGAATTTGATGGATACTATCTTGAGAGTGAACCTTGTGTTGCTTGTAGCTCTCCGGAGGTACCCTACAGCAGGATGAAGCTAGAAAGCCTGAAATCGGAAACAAAGTTTACCGACAACCGCATCATAGTGAAATGCACTGGGAGCTACACCATCCAGAGTGTGACCATGAATGTTCATGATGCTCGAAAGTCCAAATCTGTGAAAGTATTGAACCTTTACTATAACAACAGGCCTGTGGCTGACTTGTCAGAGTTGAAGAACAATTGGTCCTTGTGGAAGCGTGCAAAGATCTGCCATCTTGCTTTCAATCAGACTGAGCTAAAAGTAGATTTTCCAATTCCAATAACTGCATGTAACTTCATGATTGAGCTGGATTCCTTCTATGAAAATCTTCAAGCTTTATCGCTGGAACCATTGCAATGCCCACGTTGCAGCCGACCTGTCACTGATAAGCATGGGATATGCAGTAATTGCCATGAGAATGCATATCAATGCAGGCAGTGCCGTAACATTAATTATGAGAATCTGGATTCTTTTTTATGCAATGAATGTGGGTACAGCAAATATGGTCGTTTCGAATTTAATTTCATGGCAAAACCAAGTTTTACTTTTGATAACATGGAGAATGATGAAGATATGAAGAGGGGACTGGCTGCTATAGAATCTGAATCAGAAAATGCTCATAGGAGATATCAGCAGCTTTTGGGCTTTAAGAAGCCTTTGCTCAAGATTGTCTCAAGCATCGGAGAGAATGAAATGGACTCCCAACAAAAGGACTCTGTTCAGCAAATGATGGTCTCTCTGCCTGGACCTTCATGTAAGATAAACCGTAAAATTGCTCTTCTTGGTGTTCTATATGGTGAGAAGTGCAAAGCAGCTTTTGATTCTGTTAGCAAAAGTGTACAGACACTTCAAGGGCTTAGACGGGTTTTGATGAATTACTTGCATCAGAAACATTCTGATAATGCAGTCACCTCGTCAAGATATGTTGTGTCCAGGTCACCAAACAGTTGCTATGGTTGTGCTACTACATTTGTCACACAATTTCTTGAGATACTACAGGTGCTATCAAAGCACCCAAACTCCAAGAAACAACTTGTTGCTGCTGGCATCTTATCTGAGTTGTTTGAAAATAATATTCATCAAGGTCCTAAAACAGCTCGTGTCCAAGCGAGGGCAGCACTTTGTGCTTTCTCTGAGGGTGAGATGAATGCCGTGGCTGAGTTGAATAGTTTAATACAGAAGAAAGTTATGTACTGTCTTGAACATCATCGCTCCATGGACATTGCCTTGGCTACCCGTGAAGAGCTGTTGTTGCTTTCAGAGGTGTGTTCTTTGGCAGATGAATATTGGGAATCAAGACTGCGTGTTGTCTTCCAATTGTTGTTTTCTTCTATTAAATTGGGTGCTAAACATCCTGCTATATCTGAGCATGTTATTCTTCCTTGTCTGAGGATTATATCTCAGGCATGTACACCTCCAAAACCTGATGTGGTGGAGAAGGATCAAGGAACAGGGAAGTCTGCCACTGTTTCACTGTTGAAGGATGAAAACAATTTGAATCCATCTGGGTCTTTAAGTGGCCTTGTCAGTGGGAGTAAATCTGTCCAGGAGTCATTAGAAAAGAGCTGGGATGGTTCTCAGAAGACTCAAGATATTCAATTACTAAGCTATGCTGAGTGGGAGAAGGGAGCGTCGTATCTTGATTTTGTAAGGCGGCAGTATAAAGTGTCTCAGGCAGTCAAAGGTGTTCAGAAGTCTCGGCCTCAGAGACATGATTACCTTTCTCTCAAATATGCTCTAAGATGGAAGCGGCGTGCTTGTAAGACATCTAAAAGTGAGTTGTCATCATTTGAGCTGGGCTCATGGGTTACGGGACTTGTATTGAGTGCTTGTTCTCAGTCTATAAGATCTGAGATGTGTATGCTGATTAGTTTGCTTTATGCACAAAGTTCATCAAGACGGTTTCGGTTGTTGAATTTACTTATGTCTTTGTTACCGGAAACCCTTTCTGCCGGTGAAAATGCCGCTGAGTATTTTGAATTGCTCTTTAAGATGATAGATTCAGAAGATGCCAAGCTTTTCTTGACTGTGCGTGGGTGTCTGACTACAATATGTAAGTTAATAACTCAAGAAGTGAATATTGTTGAATCTCTAGAGAGGAGCCTGCATATTGACATCTCTCAGGGATTTATCCTTCACAAACTTATAGAGCTCCTCGGTAAATTTTTGGAGGTTCCCAAGATCAGATCCAGGTACGAGTACTTATCATGTTTTTTTTCCTGGTAAATGTGTCATCTTTCATTTTTTATGTACTTATTATCTTGATGCCAGATTCATGCAAGAGAAGTTGCTGTCACAAGTCCTTGAAGCCTTCATTGTCATTCGCGGCTTGATAGTGCAGAGGACAAAGTTGATAAGTGATTGTAATAAGCTTCTAAAAGATCTTCTAGACGGTCTAATGCTTGAGAGTAGTGAAAATAAACGCCAGTTCATACGGGCCTGCATTAGTGGTCTGCAAAAACATGGAGAGGACAGAAGAGGACGAACTTCTTTGGTATGGGGGAGAGACTTGGTGTTCTGTTACTTTTTTATGTTGTCCCCACTTCTGATTTTGTCTTTAATGGTTTTCTAAACAACTATAGGCGTTAACTTATGGGATTCATTCTGATTAATCTGTCTTCCATCAAATTTAAACTTATGGGATTCATTCTGATTGATCTGTCTTCCATCAAATTTAAACTTATTTTTTAGAAACTTTTTTTCTAATATGTTTCGTTTAATAGTATAAATGCCTGGCAAACTTTGTGAATTTTGTTTTTGTGTAGAACTTGGGGTTCGTTTTGGTGATTCCTTTCATTGCTTATTAAACTCAAAAACATTCTTGGAAAAATATGCAGAGATTCATTTTTTTATTTTTTTACCATGACCTGTATAGAAGAGAGCTTACTTGTATATTGATCTGATTGCTAACTTACAATTAATTTTCATCTATATCTGCAGTTTATCTTGGAGCAGCTCTGCAATCTTATCTGCCCATCAAAACCAGAGTCTGTATATCTTTTGGTTCTGAACAAGGCTCACACCCAAGAAGAGTTCATCAGGGGATCAATGACCAAGAATCCTTACTCCAGTGTTGAGATTGGTCCACTGATGCGTGATGTTAAAAACAAAATCTGTCACCAGTTGGATCTGTTAGGTCTTCTTGAAGATGACTATGGTATGGAATTGCTAGTGGCTGGAAATATCATCTCTCTTGATTTGAGCATTCCTCAAGTTTATGAGCTAGTTTGGAAAAAGTCAAATAGTCAGTCTTCAAATGCAACAGCTAGCACTACCTTGCTAGCCTCTACTGCTGTCACATCATCCAGAGATTGTCCTCCAATGATTGTGACTTACAGGCTTCAGGTTTAGTTCTATTATTTTATTCTGTACCTTTGAAATTTTTCCTTTTGGTTGTCATGTCAAGTGGGTTACTGTTCACCACTATGTATGCATGTAAACGTGAAGCAGTGTGGAGCAACTATATATATAACTCGAAGCAGTGGGATTTTCCCAAGCAAACAACAAAGCTATTAATATTGAATCAACTAGATCATAACATTCATTCTCCAGTAGATTGAATAAATGCCGTGAATCTTTCAAGAATTAATAATTTGTAAAACATAGGTGTTAAAATTGGGAACCTCAATAACTAGTCTACTATGAGACTTGAATACCCGTACAAGATGTTATGTAGTGTTTGATTCTTGTTGCATTCTCTTATGGAAATTATAGTTCTTAGTAGTTTTTGGTTTTGGGAACACTATAATTCATGAGGTGAGGTTTTCCGAGTCTCTTAGATAAACACCATATTCAACCTTCTTTTTCATTTCTACTACAGATATCTACTCTTAACCATGGCTCTGATACCAATTGTTGGATTTAAATCATAAAAAACTTGTAAAAGTCCAGAATAATAACAATATGTAAAGAGGGGAATTCCTTAATTGTACCTTATTGAGAATTATATATTGGAATACCTTGAGAATTCTATAGGAGATCCTTAGACTTATATATAAACAACAACACGAGGATGATTTCTCTACAAGCAAGGACATCTAAGCCTCCATTCCAATCATGGAAACTTAAACGCCAATGTCCCTTAATGAAAGATAAAAAAGGAAAGAAACTTAAATGCCAATAGTCTTTCTCAATAATGGATCATAAATGCTTAGTCAAGTAATATATTGGTCTAAACAGTTTTATGGTCTCAAAACTGATTTCAGCCAAGATTCGTGCAAATATAATGTGGTTTTTACAGCATTTCTTGAGATGTGTAAACTGCATATCATCTAAAAATGGGCCTCACTATGCTTCATACCATCATGATACGTCACTTGAATATATTACAACCACCATCATCCTCATCTCTAGTGTGAAGGTTTATTAGTACGGAGCCAATCCCATATCTCCCCAAGCTATCCTCATGGAGTGAGAATCACTTCTACAGGCAAACTTTAGGAATCATATTTAGAGTTACTGATGTGATGCCCATCCACATCTAGCCAAAACAACCTGATGGAACCTGATGCGAGTGTAATACCACTCCAAAGCAAATATAACAGCACATACACAAACCACATATATAAATAGTAGAATAATAGAAATGATGAATAACTTTATTTTACATGTAACTGTCACATACATTCCATCTCACTAGTCATTTTGCTGTATTATGGTCAACATTTTTTTTTTTCATGTTTGGGGGAATTTGTACAAGTTACTCTGAAGGGGTTCATGTACAAGGATGGTATGAAGTTTTGGCACTTCATTATTTATTGCTTTTCAACCTGTTTGGAGCCTAAAAGTTTTATTTTTTATTTATTTTTTATTTTTTTGTGAAAAGTTCAAATGGAGAACTTGATTTAAAGATCGTTGATGTATTCTCATCTTAAAAAATGCATTAAAACGTGGCAGGGGTTAGATGGTGAAGCTACTGAGCCCATGATCAAAGAATTGGAGGAGGATAGAGAGGAATCTCAAGATCCAGAAGTTGAGTTTGCAATAGCAGGCGCAGTTCGGGAATGCGGTGGTTTAGAAATTATTTTGGGCATGATTCAGGTGTGTGCTTATGAATTATCTTAATAGTATAGACAGTATCTTTTACTAATGTAATTTGAGGTTTATTTCGCTCTATCTGGTTTTGCTTCGTCCTTCCGTTGTACAAAGTTTCACTTTAGAAATTCTTTTGTTTAGTCAAAAGTTGGAAAAGCAATTGAAATGACAATGATAAAGATGTGGTAACATATCGAAATGTTTGGGGGCTTGACTAGAAACAAATAAAGCTGTTCGTTGTTCATGCTCGCCTCAATAAAATAATGAGCTCCAAAATATGATCAAGCTTGAGCTCCAACATATTGAAATGTTTGGGGGCTTGACTAGGAAGCAAATAAAGTTGTTCATTGCTCATGCTCGCCTCAATAAAATAATGAGCTCCAAAATATGATCAAGCTTGGCTCGTTTTATTCTTTTGCTGATTTTGGGTTGTCCAACAGCCACAAACACCCCCCCCCCCCCCCCCCCCCCCCCCCCCCCCCCCCCCCAAACACACACACACACCCCAATATTATAATAATAGTAATAGTAGACAAGTTTAACATACTTGGCACGAGCTTAATAAAATAATGCATTTTAAGCTGATCTCAAATTAGTCTAAAGCCGATTGTGAGCCGAATAACTTAATTCCTTTTAATAGGCATATTTATTCTTGAAGTATTAATGAGGTGTCCTTAGTCTAGGCGATATCACATACCCACATTGTGAAAATGATGCCGAATCAAACAGAAGGTTGTTTTGAGAATAGGCCTACGTGAATACTCTTATGTCTCAATGTCAAGCTAATGAATAGAATTCCATTTGCTATTATAAAGGAAAACTGGACGACGTAAATCATGCATACGTGCAAAAGGTGGTGTATAATGGTGAGGTGTTACTATATATATATATATATATATATAGTAACAGGCATGCAAGTCATCCTACAAATATGAACCAGAATATAAACCAATATCCTTTAATGCTATGAAGCACGGATACTTCTCTAGGGTGTCATGTCAGTACTAGACACTTGGACACTTATTGGATACGCAATATGGCTCAGACATGTGTTGGATACAACTAGAAGTATCCTGAAAATTGAATATTTTTATTTTTTGGTTGGACATGGCTGGGATATGGCATTGGACACAACAATGATATGTTTTGGACACTTTCAAGATATGGCAAGTGTGTAATCACTTTTTTTTTTTTTTTTTTTTTTTTTTTTTGAAAAAATGGGATTCAATGCAATTTAAAATATATTATGGGCTTATTAAAAAAATAATATAAAATTTATGAAAACAATAACAACAAACATCTAGCTCTAAGCTCTAAATTAGTGATTTTATTCATGATTATATGGATAAAATGGCAAAAAAAAAAAAAAATTATATATATATATATATATAATAATGTATTATATTATTATTTTTTGTTGTATCCATGCTGTACCTGTGACCTATTTTTTTGAGATTTGCTGTATCATGATGTCCATATCGTACCAGTGTTTGGTGTCCGTATCCGTGCCTCCTAGCTTTAATGCAGCAGTAATTTATTATTATTATTATTATTATTATTATTATTATTATTATTATTTTTCTAGTTTCTGTATTGATTTGTCACCTGAAGATTGAAACAAGTTTCTATGTCCTCAAGAATGTATAACTAGTAGAATGATATTATACATTATTGTGTTTGTCTCATATATAATGGAATAAAAAACCTGGTTTTAGTTTTGCGTTGCAATTTTCTTCAGGTTGGAGGTAGAAATCTCAGATTTATAAACAGAGTGGTGATATTCCTTTCTTTCCCAACTAGTAATGGAACTATGGTTTCTTGAAGATGACATGTAATTGCTCTTGTTGCAAGAGTCGCCGTTGGTTATGAATTCGTATATGATTTTTTTGGTGTAAGGGTGTCAAATCACATCTCTGCTGGGACTTCTAAAAAAAAAAAAATTACTTCTCTGCTGGGCTGTTTTGTTTTATTTTGAGATGGAACTTCTGTTACATCATGTATGGGATACACAAATAATACCACGTTGTTAGTGCATTATCCAGATGTTTATTATTGTGTTTTTATTAATAACTATTTCTCTCTTTTTTAGTCTAATCTTATTCTGTTTCAAGTTCATCATTGAACATTATCACTGTTGTAGAAACTGATTCAATATTTCCACACCTTATTTCTACACCTGATATTGGTTAAAATATGCAGTGTTTACGAGATGATTTGAAGTCTAATCAAGAGCAGTTGGGTGTGGTGCTTAATCTCCTGATGCTCTGCTGCAAGATAAGAGAAAATAGAAGGGCATTATTAAGCCTGGGCGCTTTAAATGTCCTCCTTGAAACAGCAAGGCGAGCCTTTTCTGTAGATGCCATGGAGCCAGCTGAAGGCATTCTTTTGATTGTGGAGAGTCTGACATTGGAAGCAAATGAGAGCGATAACATTGACATCACACAGTGTGCTCTTACAGTCACTAATGAAGAAACTGGTGCTGCTGAACAGGCCAAAAAAATTGTCCTGATGTTCCTGGAAAGATTGTGCCATCCTTCTGGCCTTAAAAAGTCAAATAAACAGCAGAGGAACACTGAGATGGTTGCAAGAATCTTGCCTTACTTGACCTATGGTGAACAGGTGGCAATGGAGGCACTCATCCAGCATTTTGAACCATACCTAAAAGACTGGGTTGAATTTGACCGGCTGCAGAAACAGTATCAAGACAACACAAAGGATGAGAGCATTGCCCAGCAAGCAACCAAGCAGAGGTTTTCAGTAGAGAACTTTGTTAGAGTTTCAGAGTCACTCAAGACAAGTTCATGTGGGGAGAGATTAAAGGACATTATATTGGAAAAGGAGATTACTGGTTCTGCAGTTAGACATCTGAGGGAGAGTTTTGCATTTACAGGGCAGGCAGGCTTGAAATCTAGGGCAGAATGGGCGTCGGGCTTAAAACTGCCATCTGTGCCACTAATCTTGTCTATGCTGAGGGGATTGTCGATGGGACACTTGGCCACTCAAAGGTGTATAGATGATGGAGGGATCTTACCATTGCTCCATGCTTTGGAAGGTGTGTCAGGAGAATATGAGATTGGGGCAAGGGCTGAGAACTTGTTGGACACTCTCTCTGATAAAGAGGGAAATGGTGATGGATTTCTAGCAGAGAAGGTTCGCATATTGCGGTATGCCACCCGAGATGAGATGAGGCGAAGAGCTCTAAAGAAGAGAGAAGAGTTGCTTCAGGTACAACATTTAAACTTGTGGCTTAATAAATCTGTGTTAAATGAGCTTTACTAATTTTCTTTGGCAAAATATTTGGCGGCTATAGAACTGTCAACACGCATCTTATAAGTATACTGAATATCATTTACTAGTACTTTCACAGTTTCACGTTAACTTCAGAATTTTCATCATGCATCTTAAAAATATATTGAATATCATTTAGTAGGATTTGTGCATTGCTAAATTGATCTGATCTAAAAAAAAATTATGGTAACAGGAACTTAGGATGCGACAGGAATTGACTTCAGATGGTGGAGAGAGAATTATTGTTGCTCAGCCAATCCTTGAAGGTTTAGAAGATGTCGAAGAGGAGGAAGATGGGTTGGCATGCATGGTTTGCCGAGAGGGCTACAGTTTAAGACCCACTGACCTACTGGGTGTCTACTCTTACAGCAAGAGAGTAAATCTGGGTGTTGGAACGTCAGGAAGTTCTCGTGGGGAGTGTGTTTACACAACGGTTAGCCATTTCAACATCATACATTTCCAGTGCCATCAGGAGGCTAAAAGAGCCGATGCTGCTCTGAAGAATCCGAAAAAAGAATGGGATGGCGCCACTCTAAGGAACAATGAGACTCTTTGCAATAATTTATTCCCCTTGAGAGGTCCCTCTGTTCCAGTAGCACAATATATCCGTTGGGTTGACTGGTATTGGGATAACCTCAACGCTCTTGGACGTGCTGATGGAAGTCGGCTCCGTTTGTTGACTTACGACATCGTTCTGGTACACAACCATCTTACACTCTCCCTCTCTCTCTCTCTCTCTCTCTCTCTATTTTTTTTACTTCTTTCTTCCCCCCTTTGGTGGTATCTAGGTTTTTCTTTTGGGTGTGTGATCACCTGAACATGAACTATGTGTAAGTGTGCCTCTATGTCATCCCATTCACACTGTCCCCATAATGTCACACGAGTGTGTTTTCATCCTATTTATAATGAAACCAACATCAGAAGCAAATTGTGAAGTTCTATCGTAAAGGATAATGGTCCTTCTCTTTATTGGAAGGGTGTTGATTTGTTGTTATTTGTGTTAATGCATTCACATCCGCCTTCATTTCAATGGTCATTGAAGTTTTAAGTTGCCCAGATTTTCATAATTCTGGTTGACATCTGGTTTTGGATGATGTGAATTGTTTGAAAAACATTGGAGATAGCCTTCCAGTCACTTAGGTTTTGAATTGGCGCATTAGTCATCATGATGGTCCTGCACCACTAAGCAGGCGTTTGATAGAAAACTCTGCCATCTAGGCACAGATAAATAATTTTTTGTAGTAATAAGAGTTGTGCAACTAATATGTGTAACCACTTGTAGGTATAAAGCAATCTCTAGGTCTGATGTTCATGTGTGTTGTCTTGCAGATGCTAGCTCGATTTGCAACCGGTGCATCTTTTAGTGCAGATAGCAGGGGTGGGGGAAAGGAAAGCAACTCGCGTTTTCTTCCTTTCATGATTCAGATGGCTCATCACCTTCTTGATCAGGGAAACCCTTCTCAGCAGCGCCTTACCATGGCCAAGGCTGTCACGACATATTTGTCCACGGCCTCAGTAGATACACAACCTTCTGTTGGAACAGAAGAAACTGTCCAATTCATGATGGTGAACTCACTTCTCTCAGAATCTTACGAGTCGTGGTTGCAACACCGCCGTGGGTTCTTGCAACGTGGAATATACCACACATACATGCAGCACACTCATGGCAGGAATCAAACAAGTGCTGGGAGATCAGATTCAGGAAGTTCAAGCACGGACCGCAAAAAGGAAACTGGTGGTGGTGATGATCTATTGCCCATCATTCAACCGATCCTCGTCTATACTGGCTTGATTGAGCAGCTGCAGCATTTTTTCAAGGTCAAAAAAGCAGCAACTGTGGTTGTGGCCCAGGCAGAAGGATCATCCGGAAGTGTAGAAGGGGAAGACAAAAGCGGAAACTTGGAAAGTTGGGAGGTGTTGATGAAAGAGAGACTGTCGAACGCAAAAGAGATGGTCGGATTCTCCAGGGAATTGCTGTCATGGCTTGACGAGATGACTTCTGCTGGAGATCTGCAAGAGGCATTCGACGTCATTGGCGTGTTGGCTGATGTGCTTTCTGGTGGGCTAACACGGTGTGAGGACTTCGTAAATGCTGCAATTAATGGAGAGAAGAACTGAGCATTTGATGTAATCAGAACTCAGATGTGTTTCTGATCAGTTGGTTATACCGTCGTGGATGAAGATGTAATTACGGAGAGAGAATTATCAACTGCCTTGAATTTTGATACACATTTAGTTGTATTCGTGCTTTAGTACCCATGTAGGAAAAGAACTGCCAAGTCCCTACTCTTTAAATGCTGAAATTGTATCTGTTGTACACACATTGTTCCGAGCTGAAATGAAAACTTTTTCCATGTTCTGGTGTTAATTTGTAAAACCCTAGGTTGCTGCTTTTATATTTATAGCAAAGAAAGAAGCAAAGGAAAGAAAATAATCAAGTTCTACTCTGATTTGCAGAATCAATATTTGAAGATTAATTCGTGTGGTACATGGAGGGTATGTGAAGGGCCGAGTTTCGTGGTTTTTATATTAAAGAGATTGGGTATGAGTAGGGCCAATGTGGGCCACGAAAGGTTTGGTTCGGTAGCTGGGCGAGCTTGGGGACGAAAGAGGGTTATGGATTTTGATGTTTACATTAGACAACGGGCCCAATAAGTTTTGGGCCGAAAAGATGAGTATGGGTTGAAGATGTAATGAACACCACCAGTTTTATGTTAAACAAGGAGGGGACTGTGTGTGTGTGTGTGATTTTATATTTATATATCCTGGTTTAGGGATTGCACTTTGAGTTATGTAGGCTAACCAATACAGCAGGGTTTGGAGAGGGTCAGATGTACGCAACTTTACCTCCATATGGAGTGGAGGTTTCCGGTTTCAAATTTGTGTGACCCTAATGTCACAATGTAGCAACCTTATCGATGCCGGACTTCCCAATTCAAATAGCGCACTTACTAAGAGAATGGGCAACCATGTTGGACTTGCGAAGAGACCATAGCAGCACCATACTCAAATTCTGATGAAGAAATGTTGTGATATCCCTTGTTTTATGGTACAAAACTTGAGCTATTGAGTGTTTCTTTCATATTTCCCTTTATGGTCCAATGATAGATGATGGGATATAAATTTTAAGGCATTCTTACATAAATCTGTCGAGTGTTTCTTGAGCTATTAAGTGTTTGTTTCATTTTTCCCTTTTTCAGCTATTGCTTTATGGTTTTTTTTTTTTTTTTTTAAATTTACATAAACAAATATGAGACCATCCCTTGCCCAACACAATCCTAACCTAACCTAATATTTATTGGCAAATGAAATGCCCTTCGCCAAAAAGAAAAGGAAATAAAAAGAATTGTAGTAGTAACTGTCAATAACTAACTAATCAGTTGGCCTAGTACAAATTATGGGTCATCTTTGCTTTGCTTCTACAACACAAACTCAAGCTCACTTATGACCAAAGCCTACTAACATATATAACTTGAGACTATTTGTGGAGCCTTTTAATACAATTTGGTACAAGGAGCCCAAACTATATATATATATATATAATATCTTATTCCCATATTCTTTTAGGTCCACTTTTTTTTATAAAAAAAAAAATTAAATAGTTTTAATTCGATAAAACTACATGCTACAAGACCATATAACAATTTTACATGCTCTCCAAATCCCATTTTTTATAATCCAAGTCACCACCTAGGTAGATGTGACATCTGAACTCATTGAATGGTTTTGAGTGCCAACTGTGACCATCAATGTAAAAATGAAGTTTCTTTGTCAAAGGTGGAAAAGAATTCTGCGAGTGTTGAAAGAAGAAGAAGCTAGTTGTCAATTATGAAAGCTTGACCATGAAAGTGAAACCAATCACTTGTCTTGTGTCCATAACCCACGGTGTTGATTAATTTGAAAAAAATGAATATCAAAATTACACCAATTAAGAACCTAACTTAATTATCATCTGCACTTTTCTCTCCGAGTTGAGAGAGAATCGTTGACAATCTTTTCTTGACATATTTGTCGTTAGTTATGCGATTCAATTTTTTGTTGAGCTGTACTCCGTACATTCGTGACTATGTAAACTCAATTTTTTAAATCTTGCGAGTCTCACAACAGGGCCCACAAATATAAGAATTGAGAATGTCAGTTTGTTAGGGTTGCAACAAAGTTCAGTGATATTTTCTCCATCCTTAATTGAACAAGATCAATGAGTGGATTATTTGCCAAATAAAATAAATAAATAAAAACTTTTTGTAGGGTTTAATTCCCATGCCAAAGAGGAGAAAGCATTAAATATCCGGTACCCTTAGAAGTGAAAGTTGATAGATCATGGATGTGATGGTGGGTCTCACTACATCCATGGGCTAAGAATACTCACGGATACCATACCATGAGGTATTTAATATTTTATTGCCAAACATATCACACCCATTAGTGTTTTCTCACATAGGCTTAAAGAGGAGAAAATTTTTATTGCGCTCATTGCATCGTAAAAGAGAAAAATTGTATTGTGTCTGTTGTACTGTGCAACGGGCATATCCTACCATTCATTATTATCGGCATGTGTAATACACGCGTAAATATATATATTAGACGGATGTGCTCATTGCTATGTAATAATGAGTGCAATGTATTTAAACAATGAAAATAACTAACAATCTAATTAATAGTGAACAATTTCCTTACATGCTATTTTTATTAGAGGTGTGCAAGCTGATCCTACACCAATAATGGACCACTATTATTATTAATTTGTTTGGTAAAGTACAAAGTAAATAACACCTTCAATCTTTGTTTTAACAAAATTAATATTATTATGACCTTGGTGTAAATGTATATAGTACAATTATATTATGATATTCATTTCATAATCATCATCTCAAATAACAAGTCACAAATTATTTATCTCATTATTATCATAACCATCATCAGAGTGAGTACTAACTATTTTCATTGTTGAGATTATAATCACATGACTTGACCAAAAAATGTTTTTGGAGTCTCCACCTGCAGTTATTTAGAAGATAAGATCAAAGTTGTGGAAATTAAATAAAGTCCACTTGATTGAGTGTTATTCAGATATGGCGCATTAATATCCTTTTCAATCACCTACCATTCATACCTAGTGCCACCATTTACTCTATTCTTGAATTGGTATATAATACGGAGTATAATGGTGGTGGTAGAGATTCGAGAGGTAAGTTTTTGACGTCTCGCTTTTGAACCGCACCCCTGATTTAAATAGTGAGTTTGTTCTAAAAAAAAAAAATCACATAAATTGCAAGAATAATAATAAAAATAAGAGATAATTACACTGACTTTCTCTAAAGTTTTGTCAATATACACTGACCTCCCCTCTTATTAGCCAAATAACACTGACCTCTCTTGAGATATGTATACTGCTAACATGGACCTCCCCTCCCTTAACAGAAAACACTGTTTACGAACATAAAAAGATGATGTCAGCAATTTTAAATTTCAAATTCCCATTCTACACCTAAAGCCAAGTAAATAAAGCAATTGAAATACCTAAAATAGCCCATAAGTATTTTTCCTCTCTCCTCACAGTTTCTCTCCCCCCACTATTTTTCTCTATGCACTCTCTTCCTCATAAGCGAGCACCAAGAACCAGCGGCGGTGAAGAAAAACATGGAACATCGGCGGCAAGTTTGAAGGACTGCCGTGCTCTGAACGGCGGTGAGTGCTAGCTTGGCAAGGAACGACGCGCAAAAACTCTGATAGTCAGCAAGGAAGACGTCTTACCGGTGGTTAAACTTGCAGACTTGCAGTTCCTGTTGAATCGCACCCGCGACGACAGCGAACTGTCGTTAGCGAGCTAGAAGTCTCCATTGATGTCGGCGGGAGTAGAACCTCAAAGCGCATCACCAAAATAAGCGAGAACAACTCAAAGAACATTTTCCGATGACGGAAAACCTCCATAAACTCCGGCACTGAGGTTGGCCAAGCCAATGTTGAAGTCTAGATTACTGGCATGTAAGCTTGGTGCTAGATTTTTTGCATTGGTAATAATAGTTGATGGCTAATTGTTCTGATCTCTCTCATTCTGTATATGTGCTAAATTTCTAGTACAGTTTTGCAGAAGTCAAAATTCAAATTAATAATGTGAGATGGTTGCTTGTGATTACATGAGTTAGCACCCAGCTGTTCATGCTGGTTATGTTGCGAATCCAAACACAATATGAAGAAACAGAGTGTAAGCAATAACACATGGTGAACTGAGAAGTTGCGTACGTCATTATTGGTTTCTGCATTTTTCGGGAAAATCACCTCGGATTCTTGGAGTTCTTCTTCCATGGAAAAGTATGGAATAAAATTAGAGAGAGAAATAAATGGGGGTGTTTGGAAATTAAGGAATTGGAAATGGGTTTCCTGAGAAGAGAAAGAAATGTGAGGGTGAGAGAGAGGAGCTTTTTGTCTTTTCATTGTGTTTGTAATAAATACAATATAGATATAATAAGGCTAGAAAAGTAATTTCAGTGGAACAGTTAACACCGTCCACCTAAAAGCTCTAACAGGGGAGGTCAATGTTATTTGACAAATAAGAAGAGAGTTCAATGTATATTAATAAAACCTCAGAGGAGTTCAATGTAATTATCCTTAAAAATAAAAATAGAATGTACTAGACTATGTTTGCATAGTATATTAGTATGGACATAAGTTTCCCAACCAATTTAGAAATAGTTGACATTATGTAGCACGAGTGTAAATTTTATGAGCAGTTGTGTGTGTGTGTGTGTGTGTGAGAGAGAGAGAGAGAGAGAGTGAGTGTGATATATATATATATATATATATATAGCAACTTGTGTTGTTTTGCCTGTGTATTGTGGGTGGTCATAAAATTATACTACTATTTATGTGCATTCCAAGTGGCGTTGTCTGCTGTTTTTTAATAATATAACTACAGGAGAGAAAAAAAACTATTAATCTTCTAGTCTATAATAATTAATAATGGTAACAACATTTTATTTTATTTTATTAAACGCTTCTTGGTTTCGCATTATTACATATGGAAGTATAGTATCACCTGAAATAAAAAAAAATTGGATTGGTCTGACACTCTCATTTTAAATTGGTTTGTCAAAAAAATACCCGTGCACTATTTGTAAAAGTCTTCCTTGGTATGTAATATATATATATTATTTTTAGTTTTTCTCCTCAAAATTATTGTCTTCAAGCTTTATCTCCTACAAGCGTGAGATGATAAACTGTGATACAATGGGATATAGGATGTTATAAATGCAGTCAATGTGGCTGCCATATATACATATATATATATATATATATAGATTTTTCAATTAAGCATAACTAGATAATTTTTTTTTTTTTCATTTTTATTTTATTT